TTACCCTAGAAGCTTACCCAAAAGGAATCAAAAAGATTTTATACATAACATGTGCCATAATGGATAACTCGAGTTATATACTCTGTTCGTCAAATCGAAAAGGAATTGAGTTATTTACAATACTCGAGTTATATGAAGTTCTATACACAATACTCGTTATATATGAATAAAAAAGGAATTGACTCAACTCGTGAAAAAAAAAAATTCCTGAAGAAAATTGTGTATAGAACTTTTGTTGTCCATTATGGCACACTTTACAAATCCTCAAGAAAATTTTGTAAAAAAGTTGTGTAAAAATTTGTAAAGAAAATTTGTTACCACAACTCATAGGTAAAGACGTAAAGTGTTAGGTTCTATGTGTTTATTAGCTTGCCATAATGGACGATTCTCAAATCTCAAAGTCTTAACTCCCTTGATACGAAATTTATTGTATTTATTCGTTATTTGACCACTTGACCCTATAAATTGTTTTTTCTTCAGAAATCATAAAGCATCTCGAATTAAGCAATAGGCACTCATCTGTAGAAAATTAAAGAAACAATCGAAGCTTAAGCGATCTCTTTCCCAACCTCAAAAATAGTGATATTGATATCATCGTAGGGCTTCATTGGAAGATGCTCCAAAAGATAAACCTTGAATCTGAGTTATGCAATGCCCGATTGTCTAGTGGTGTTTGATCGGTTTCGACCTGGTCACCACAGTCAAAAAGTACCAATTCATGAAGTTTTATACTTTTTGATCAAGGTGATCAGGTTGTAAACAGATCAACTGCCTCATTACACGTGGATGATAGAGCATTATTTTAAAAACTGAGATTTGAGATGTCAATTGAGCTTTTGCCAATGAAGTTCTGCGATATTATCGATATCACTAATTGCCAAAATCTTATTACGATTTATTCGTTGTACAATGTTTCACTAGAAAAGACTCTATGATTTATGGGCCAAGATTATATTTTAATGTTGACACTTTATATGATCGTGTATAATATTATTCTTAGAAAAGTATTATGAATTGTGTTGTATTCATATCATGAGATTACATAACTACATATATTAGAGTTACAAAGAATCATGTAATAAATGAGAACAATAGATTGTGGAGTGATTGTGGAGATTGAATGATTGTAGGAATTACGTAGCTATATATATTAGAGTTACAAGAATTATGTAATAAATGAGAACAATATATTGTGGAATGTTTGTAGAGATTAAATATTGTGATATCATATTTTCCTTAATATATAATTCTATCAAGAAGTGTCCCCGCTTTTCAAGCTATTAAGGTTCAAAACTTGGACGTCTCTTTTCCCTCTTGTTCTCAGTGATCAATGTTAATCTTCAATATCTTCTGCAAAACTCTACCATCCATATATACTCATCCTTGCTTGAAGACATTTTCATGAATACTAACAAAAAATATTAATCTCTAAACGCATTCACTAAAATCAGGACCCGTTCTTACACAAGACGATAATGGTGTTTGGAAGTACATCTGATGGCTCAGTATAAGCTTTAACTAACCATTTTGCTAGATGATCGGTGAGGGGCAAAAAGTCTAAGGCCCCTAAGATTATCTTTTACCCAATAATCAATGGTAAAGTGTGAAATAACGCATTACTATTAAAAAGATTGTAACGTTAAACGTTTCTGGAAACTTTAGCTTGTCAAATCGTATTGTATAAAATTTATAAACTAAGACTAATGGAGGGCTTCGTTTATGAAACCCTTTCCAAAAATAGGCGTATGCCGCTTAAAGAGCAGAGAAGACACGGTATTCTTTAGTAAAAGGCGAAAGAATAGTTCGCTTTGCCTTCACTGCACGGCTCTGTGAGTTGATAACATATGATCTGCGTCTTATTTATAGTCCAGTTTCTGCATTGTTCGTGAGTAATGTAACCGATGTGGGATGTTTAGTAAAAAAGCGTTTATGGGTTTAATTAAGGCAGATATGGGCCTAGCCATGAGGCCCATTATAATTTATCTGATCGGAGGTTCCATCCAGTCTAAACCGAATGGTTTTCTAATGAACCGGTGGTTTTGATTTCGGCTCACCCTAAGGGAACCTTGGGATCAGACTCTGTGCGAGTCGCTTCCTTTGTACAGAATTCTGTCACAATTCTGCAGTTTCGACTTTTGGGTTTTGAATCGAATCAAATGCTCGTCAGAAGGAAAATTGATTTGAATCTGTAAGACTGTAACCTTATTATAGTTTCTAATTCCTAATTTCAAGACTTTTCTCTGTTCTCATCAGTCATGCATGGAAGGTATCCCACATGTATAAGTTCATCATCTACAATCATTTATGAGTTTTAAGGTAGAGCCACAAAAATTACAAATTAAAACAACTTGAAAGACTATTGAAAAGAGATTGAAAATAAGCATCTCTACTTCAGTCACTTCATCGTACCCGATGACATAAATTTATTCTCTAACAAACATAAAAAAGTTAAAAATAATGAAGAATAGTTTAGAAGTTGATTTCTATTGGATTTCATTCAGTTTAGTTTAAACGTCATCAAGCTACCAAAAGGAAAGAATATATTATTCTTTATTATTCTTAATACTGATCAAAGAAAAAAAAAATATAGGCATATGATTTCGTAGCTACATTCCCGAAATATCTGAAACCTGAAATACTCTACCCGATCTGATCCGGTATTCCGAATGCCCACCCCTAAGAGAAACTGATACGGGTATGACAATTTTTGTGTTTATAATTTTCTTTTAATTTAATAATCTCGATATAGTTGTTTTCATCAATCTTCTTTACATTTTACATAAAATAAAGTTGTTATTGCTAGCACATAGAAAACATAAAGAATTGAATCAATTTTTCACGATGAAACAATGTCAAAGTCAGCACTTAAAAGTTATTAAAAAAATCTTTTTAAATAATGAGAAGTAAGAGACAAAGTGAAAGAGAATAGTGTTGAAAAGAAAAAAGAAAAAGTGACACACACCTTTATTATATTATATAAAATTTGTTTGAGTGATTTGATTTTCGTTTTTGTTTGTTGAATAATAAAGAATCATTTGGAGAAGGGCAGAAAAATTGAAGTTTTGTTTTTGTGTTTGTTTGATTAAGAGAATTCAATAGAGATAACAAAAACAAAAATAAAAAAAATGATACATGTCTGTTATTTTAGATGATATGTGGCAGTATATCAAGTTGTTTCTGAAAAAAACATTACTTTATTATATAAGATGATGAAATAATGTCACAGTCAACTTTTATAAATTATAAAAATCTTTTTAAACTAGGGGAAGGTTCGCGTATTGCGCAGATTTGTGATATTTTAACGAGATTTTATGATATTTTAACAATTTTAGTTTTATAATATATTTTATTATATTTGTTAGTAAAAGTTTGTTGATAAATGTTAGTTTTTAGATTGTGAATACCTTGTAATTTGTTATTTCCTCTATTCTATTATATAAGTTGTTTTGGAGATTGTTTTTTGTTTCACAATATAAATTGTTTGCATATCTTAATGTTACTTTTTTCTTTATTGAATATTGTGTAACCAATGAAATTTTATAAATAATAAATTATAATATTTTTTAAATAGAAAATGTATGTTTCTTAATTCTTGTGCTTTTACCTTAAACAACTTATATTATGGAACAGAGGGAGTAAAATTTTGTATTAAAAGTTGGTGAAATAATAATATTTATCTTGAATGAAGTTAACGCTGTTAGAAAAGTGTAGCTTCCACCATTCTTTAAAAGCACGCAAGGATTGTCAGAAAGAATATTCGGAAAGTAGAATCCATATTGTGATAGTAATGGTGGTTTGAAGTTCGATAGAGTATAGGAGGAAAGAGTGAGCCAGTAATCTAAAATAATTTCATGAAAGAAAATAATGAATAATTTTCTATTCGATTGGCCATAAATAATGAATGAAACTATATTTCGCCAATAAGTAATACCACAATCAGCTCTTAAAAAATAAAAATGTTCAAAAGTAATGTGAAGTATGAGACATAATGAATGAGAACCGTGTGGAGAGGGGGGGAAAACCAGAGGTTATTTTTGTGCTTGTTCGATTAAACAAAATCTAGGAGAGATAGGAAAAAAAATTACGCATGACTTTACTCTATCATATAAAATTTTTACTTTGTTGGTTGATTTGATTTTTGTTTTTTTTGTTAGATGAAAAAAATAGTGTACAATAGAGAAAAAAAATCACATGCTTTGTTTTTGTGTTTGTTCGATATAAGATAATCTTGTAGAAATATAAAAAAGAAAAAAATAGTGACACGTATCAATTTATATGGTGATATGTGGCAGCATATCAGAAATTGTTCCAAACAAAAAACCTTACTATATAATACATTGTTGGATGAAAAATAATAATTTGCAGAAGAGAAAAAAAAACTAAAGCTTTCTTTGTGTGCTTGTTTAAGAAATAAAAATTTAATAGAAATTATAAAAAGAAAAAAAAAGTGACACATGTCAGTTTTTTAGATACCACATGGCAGCATATCACATATGGTTCTGAAAAAACTTTACTTTATTAGAATATATGATATGAAGTAAGAAACAAAATAAAAAAGAATAGTGTTAAGAAGAAAAGAAAGAGAAAAAGTGACACATAATTTTATTATATTATATAAGTTTTGTTTGAGTGGTTTGATTTTCGTTTCTGTTTAATGGATTAAAGAGAATCATTTGAAGAAAGAAAAAACAATAAAGCTTTGTTTGATTAAGAGAATTTAATAGAGATATCAAAAATAAAAATAAAAAATGTGATACATATCAGTTTTTTAATTGACACGGGCCAACATATTAGAATTGATTCTGAAAAAAACTTTATTTTATTATATAAAAGATCAACTCAACATCACCAGATTGGATTTGTGAAATGTTTCAGGAGTCGAGGCTATCGAAAACAAAATGACAACACTAGCATAAGCCATTAAACTGAAAGTACTCAAATAAATATTTGGACTGATCCAAATAAAGTGGTTAGGATATCAGTATGAATGTGTATATCAGTTAGAATATTGTGGTTGTTTGAGAAAAATCATCTTCAGATGGTAACTCGAACCGACACAATGGACAAACATGGCTAACCTTAAACCACTTCACAATACACTTGTTGTCAAACTCGTGACCACAAGGTAAAGTAACGACTTTTCGCCCGTTTTTAAACTCCTCTAAACAAATTGTGCAATGGTTAGTAATTGAGCTGGTTTTTCCTTTCGTCTTGCAGTTAGAAACTAAACTGGTTTTTGGTTTTCTCTTGTATCTTCTCCTACTTAATGACCCTACTCCTAACTTGCTTGCAGGTCTAAACCCGATATTCCTCTCATAATCATCGAGTGAGGCTCGAATTGCCTCTTCGAATTGAGAGTCATCGAGGACTAATTCTTGACTCGAAGGAACTACCCCAATGCTAAGGGTTAGCCATATTGACAAGGCGTAATGTGGACGATATTCAACCGAGGAAGTTACACTTAATGCAAGTTCAATGAGTTTTTCTATTAGCTTGATCGTATCGTCTTCATCGACTCCTGATTCTTTCAAGAAGGAATAGAGTTCTTCTTTTCTAGGAGATGCGTTGTCTTCAATGAATTCTGTGGTAGGTAACGAACATGAGAATCTAGACCGGGTTAGTATTGGGTCCATGTTGACTTGACTGAGGAAAGTAGTGTAGATAACGATTGTGCCAATTTCTTGAGGTTCAGGATTGTTTTCGATTTCGTACGTAAAATCTGGAGTAGCCTCCATGATGATGTGTATAGCTTCGAAGATGTGTATACAACGCAAAAGAAATTTGTAGAATTATGAATGGGTGAATCGAAAGTTTTATATTTATATCATCTATTGAGGCGGTGGATTGATCCTATCTTTTATAGTAATTTGGAAATTTTAATTCTAAATACGTATAGTTTCCTTTTTTCTTATTGGTTTCCAATTTATTATTTAATTTAGGTACTGCTCTTTCCCTTTTTACCGAGCTTTCCTTTTATGTTATTGGCTTCTTTTATTTTTCTTCCCTCATTAGCAGCAAATTAAAACTTACAACTTAAGTTACGTACTCTAGCTGATTTGTACACGCACAAAAAAAAAAGTTACTCTGGTTTTAATCCAATGATGCAATTCAAAGGTTGTAAACTTGTGATAACGAGTTTTAAAGTGATAGAAAGATAAAAAAAATGAGATTTTCATATTTGACCTCTCCGAGGTGTAAGAGGTTGTAATTAAGTAGTAATTTATGTGGGATGGGACTTGGGATCTTCTTTTGCTTTGGCTTTTGTTATAGTAGGTTTTGGATTGTTCAAGTTTGTTTAATGGTGCTTAGAGCAGGCTTCTCCGAAGCTAACTTTTCCGGAACAAAGTTGATGAACACAATCAAAGAAGAAGATCTATCTTAATCATAAGAATTGGTTTTTTGTGTAGTCATCAAAAATATATGATGTATGTCGGCTATTGTGGTATGATAAGTGATAACGTCTTTTATCAACTTTTTGAAGATTTGAAATAAGATTGTTTTAGTATCAGTGGGAGAAAGACTATTGTTTTCTATTTATATTTTATTTGTCCGATCTCTCTTGTAATCTATTCGATTCCAATATCAATAAAACAAAGCGTCTAAAAAAAAAGAAGACGAGTTTCAAAGTGATCCTCTGCTAATAAACTCATTACATTGGAGGATCTTACGGTATAAATAGTTCCTTTCTACTTATAGCACCAAAGCCATATAAAATGCCTGCTCTTCTCTATATTCCAAAAAAGACAAAAAAGGTTATCGCACCACAGGACACGAATCATTGTTAAGAGTCTGTCACCTTAGAAACAAATGACACAGATTCCGAGTCTATAGAACTGATCCTAATCAAGCAAGCTCGTGACCATCATTGCCTTCTCTAGGTTATATATACGCAGACGAACGTTTTACTCCGAACTACCGATGTGGGATGATGCGCATCACACATGTAATTAGTCTGTAGGCATGCCGCATGCATATGTTTTTAGTAATGCAAAATGGGCATAGCTTTCATCAATAAGGCAACAAACAACAAAAATGATATACATAGGAAGCAATTCGATTCATGAAATTCATACAACGTAACATTTGTCTTCACAATAAAATTCACAATCATCTTACAGTTGTAAGAAAATCAGATTGTGATTGACTTTTTTTTTTTTATATAGATTGTGATTGACTTTTAATCTTTCTTTATAAAGTAGTGCTTTTTCTATTAATTTTTGAACAACTTCAAAATCATTTGGACTCAATGTGCTGGCATTGTAAAAGCACAGGATCCTACTTGCTTTTCAAACAATTTCGTAACTAATTTAGAACCTTTAATTTTAATTTTCTTGCAAAATAAGGTCCATTTGCATTAATGTGTGCTTATGTTTAATAGGGTTTAATTATAATGTGTGCGTTATATATATATATTCAAGTATGGATTTATTCGATTCAGAATATTAAATTATGCTGAAAAAAGGTTTGAGCATATGAAATTATCTGTAATGAGATACATATGATGTTTTAATTAGTTTCCATCAGATGTATACGTAAAACATTGCTGAGACTTGAGTGATTACATCAGATGTATACGTAAGCCCTAAAATTTTCTAGTTCAATATTAATAGAGTTTAATTATAATGTGTGCTTATGTCTTTAATCCGGGTAAGGTAGCATTGACTAACTAATACATATGCCATGACCAAAATTTAACAAACACACAAAATATTGAACTAGAAAATTGTAGGGTTTTACCCCGAAGGGAGCCCTTCCAGAAATTCTCATGAGCCGAAGCCCATAAGGGGGTTTGGAAATAGTTTTCAACCAGCAATAGACGCGCCTCAGTTAGTACCTCATTAGCTGCATCATTGCCCCAAGCGCAAAGAGAGTATCAACAAATGAAGTACTCTTCTTTTTATATCCAAGCGATTCGTATCAACTTGACTACTACTTTCGATGTGGGACTTAGTAAGGATTTAGCTTGACTTCAAAAAATCATTCAACTAAAACTGGCCCTGATTTGTTGAAAGCCTGTTTATTCCTAAATGCTCTGCCACGCTGGAGAATTGTTTATTTCTTTGGACTTATTCGGCAATGAGTTTTTATAAACTAGAGACCTCGTCTCTTTCTACAAGCGTGTACGTACCTCTTTCTCCCATTAAAGGAATTTGTAAAATTGTAATGACAGACGAGTTCCAAAGTCTACCTCTCCCACTACACTCACTATAATCAAGAATGTCAGTATGATATAGTTTACGATGGCGAAAAGGCAACTTTTTGCTAATGGGTGATATTTCTATAGCATTTTGATTTGAATGATTCCACAGAGTGGATTGGTTGTCACTCAGTTGTAATACTTTTAATTATAGTTACTCTACAAGATCTAAGATTAATAAGCCCTTGGAAAGAACATGTCTTTTCTCTCCCAAGCCTCCTTTTATTATCATCATTAATCCTAATTTTGTTCCTTTTCACAGCGAAGAGAAAGCAGAGAGTTCGTTATACAGAAAGGGGAAACCTCAGATAAGAAGAGCATAGCAGAGACGAAGATGTATAAAGATCAACAACATCCCGTTGGTGCTCCTCCTCCTCAAGGTTAATTTATTTACAAGTTTTTTGTTTAAATTATTTTCGATTTTCTCTTCTTGTTATTTTTGTTTTTGAATTCTGATGATGTTTGTTGTTGTTTTAAAGTATTTCCTCCTAAGGAAGAGGGTCCTCCTCCACCGCATTACGGTCAGGCTCTACAAATGGATACAAATTTAAAATTATCACTTCTCCAATCATGGTGCGTTGACCCAATCTCTATCTCTTTTTTTGTTTTATAATATGACTTTGAATGGTTGCAGCAGAAGTAACAAATCACCTTGTGATCTGCAAAATTGTGTTGATGAAACTATATACTGAAAAATGATTTGTCCGGTACGAATCGTTTTATTATAAAGAAATAGAACGGTTCAATTCCTAAACAGATTAAGTTTTTTTTTGGGTACAGTAGCCTAAACATATTAAGTTTGCTTTGTTCACTCACTGTATGGCCATATAAAGTCTATATATATCTTTATATAGTTGCTCGTGATTTTTGAATGTTACGTACTAATACATATATGTGTATTTGTATTACAGTTGCGCAATATGCTACTGTTGTGCCCTACTCTTCCAAGGTTGCGCTTGATTGGAAAAAAAAGAAAAAGATGATATTTGTCGTTGACGGTCTTGAGGATGGATGCAACCGTATTTTCTTGAACTTTTTTTAAAAAAATGTTTAAAAGGTTGATCATCAATTAGATTTCTTTAATTCTGGTTATGTATGTGTATATGTGTAGTTATATATACAACATGTAAATTTAAACTCAACATTGCTTTCTCTGGCTTATATATACAAAGAGCGAGATTCATCCCCAGCTGAGCGATGTGGGATATTAATCTGTATCAAAAAGAAAACTTGATAAAAGCATATAGGTGAGGAAAGGCTCAACAATATCACCGATCAGAGATTTTAAAACAATCGACATACTGGACAGGTTCCACGTGGTGGATCCGACATCAAGAGCATTCTTGCAGGTCAAGCCAAACTCGCTCTCCAGCTTCATCAGAGTGTTGTTTAAGCCATTGCCCACAAAGGTGAAATCAGGTAAATTTAAAAAGTTGAAAAGAGAGAGGAAGATCGCCATCATCTTCATCTTCATTAGAAGGAAGATGAACTATTAGGCAATTGTCTCCATCGCAGAGCTGGAGCAAGGCAGTTTTGTTTTGCTTTCTACCCTTTTGCACCCGTTCGGCGTCAAGACCAATGATCTTCTTCATGTTGTTTTTATTGGACAAGAATGTCTTCACAAGACGGTTGATGTCCCTCTCTTTTTCAGTTATGGTCGTTTTGATGCTAGCTAGCTACTCTAATTTTCAAAACCGACGTAGACATCTTTGAAATAATATATTATGATGAGATGGAAGTATGGAGCAAATAGAAGATTCGTTGTATTTATGTAGACGTACGTAAAAGGGAATTTCAAAAGTCGCAACATTAGTAGGAAAAACGAAGAGTCTAATATTAAATGCATTTATAAGGCATAATATTTGTTATTGTGATATTGCCATTAACAATTTCTGCATGGGCTGACGGAAACCATTTCCAAATTAAATGCTTGTATATGAATGAGACCTCATGGGGCTTTAATTTTAACCAATTTATTTACTTAGTTTATTGGTATATTTTGTTAAAAATATATTATTTCAGTATTACTATTAACTAAAAGGAACTGATATCAACTCGACAATTTGTGAACTGTTTTAGGCGTCGAGACTATTGACAAAAAAAAAAAAAAAATACAACACTAGCATGTGCCGTTAAACTGAAACTACTCAGATAAATTTTGGACTGATCCAAATATAAGTGGTTAGATATCAGTTTGAAAGTGTATATCAGTTAGAATACTGTGGTTGTTTGAGAAAAGTCATCATTGTAACTCGAACCGACACAATGGGCAGACATGGCTAACCTTAAACCACTTCACAATACATTTGTTGTCAAACTCGTGACCACAAGGTAAAGTAACGACTTTTCGCCCGTTTTTAAACTCATTTAAACAAATTGTGCAATGCTTAGTAATTGAGCTGGTCTTTCCTTTTGTCTTGTAGTTAGAAACTAAACTGGTTTTTGGTTTTCTCTTGTATCTTCTCCTACTCAAGGACCCTACTCCGAACTTGCTTGCGGGTCTAAACCCCATATTCCTATCATAATCATCGAGTGAGGCTCGAATCGCCTCTTCGAATTGAGAGTCATCGAGGACTGATCCTTGACTCGAAGGAACTTCTACATCAATGACCAGCCACATTGACAAAGCGTAATGTGGACAATATTCAACCGAGGAAGTTACACATAATGCAATTTCAATGAGTTTTTGGATTAGCTTCAACGCACCGTATTCATCGATTCTTGATTCTTTCAAAAAGTTATAGAGTTCTTCTAATCCAAGAGATGCTTCGTCTTCAATGAATTCTCTGGTAGGTAACGAACATGACAATCTAGACCGGGTTAGTATTAAGTCCATGTTGACTTGACTGACGAAATTTGTGTGGATTACGGTTGTGCCAATTTCTTGAGGTCCAGTATTGTTTACGATTTCGTACGTAATCTCTGGCGTAGCGTCCATGATGAGGGGTATAGCTTCCATGATGTGTATACAATGCAGAAGAAATTTATAGAATTATGAATGGGGGAAGTTGTATATTTATATCATCTATTGAGGCGGTGGACTGATCCTATCTTTTTATAGGAATTTGGAATTTTTAATTCTAGATACGTACATATAGTTTCCTTTTTCTTATTCATTTCCAATTTATTATTTAATTTCCCTATTCCCGAACTTTCCTTTTCTTTTCTTTTTCTGCCCTCATTAGCAGCAAATTAAAACTTACAACATAAGTTACTCTGGTTGATTTGCACACGAAAACAAAAAAAAAAGGTTACTCTGGTTTAAAGCGCTCTTAACACCTCAATGATTTCATTCAAATTGTAAATTGTAATATCAGACGAGTAACAGAATACAAAAAAGGATATTGGGTATAGAGTTCAAGCTCACCAGAATAAAAAAAATTGCAACCACGTCGACAAAGATTAGACCGAGCCGAGTTAATCACGCTCCACGGACATGAACCATCCACCAGGATCTGTCTCCTTAGAAACCAATGATACAAATGTATGAGCCTATAGAACTGTTCCCGCTTAAGTAATGTCGCGACCTGCAGGTTATATATAGGCAGACGTTTTACTCCGAGCTAGCGATATGTGGGATGATACGCATCATAGTCATACATATAATTAGTCTGTAGGCATATGTTTTAATTTTATTTTTTTTGGTCGAAGTCGAGAGACCAAGGTCTCTCAAGTGTCTCTCAAGTATTATTCAAAATAAAGAAACGAATTATATCCGAGAAACAGAGCGTACTCTTATTTCTCCAATAACATCAGCTAAAACAACATGAGCCACATTCGCCGGTGGTGTTTCTAAGTAAATAAAACCCAAAGGTAAAGAAAATGCATAGTTTGCCAAACTATCTACTAGACAGTTTATTTCTCTATAGATGTGTTTGATGCAGACTACCCAATCCCTTGAGATGAAGCCATAGCACAGATGTACTAGGAAAGACAGTGGATGTCCATCACTTATCCCTGTCGTCAAAAAGCCAGCAACCATTTCTGAGTCTATCTCAATCTCTAAGCGAGTGATATGGTTTTCCCAAGTAATATATAACCCGTAATATACCCCCCAAAGTTCAGCTAGAGGGACAGAACAGATACCTATGTTCAGTGCGAAGCCACCACACCACTCCCCTCTTTCATCCCGTAGCACTCCCCCAGCTGTTGCGAAGCCCATCTTTTCGCGAACTGCTCCATCAGTATTTAGCTTAAACCATCCACTAGATAGTGGCTTCCACGATATCCCAACCTGTATCCTTTGCTCATTGTTCGAGTTCCTTTAGTCTTTTCATGAGCTGAGGACACCTCGTTAGCCATATCTTTTAGAAAGCGTACTCTATCACGACACTTCCTTGTTGAGCCAAAGATATTCTCGCAGCGCCATTTCCATCCCCACCATACACTCATTGCAAAAACCGTAGCCCAGTTACTACTTTCTGACACTTCTAAGTCTCCAAGGTTCCTATGAATCCATTCCAACAATGTCATGTCAAAGAAGCATTGCTGTTTTCTCGAGGGGACTATGCGCTGCCATATTCCTGCCATTGCAGGACAGTCACGAAGCACATGTAGTATAGTTTCCTCTCCTCCTCTGCAAACTTGGCATACTCCCGTATCACTCAGGTGACGGCGTTGGCGCTCAACGTTTGTCATGAGAACTTGATGCACCACTAGTACGAGAAACACCCTCACTCTCTCCGGTGCTATTACTTGCCAAATTCTGTTGTAGAAGATCTCCATATTCTGTGTTGGAGAGTGGTTCTTTGTCAACAAGGTGTAAGCTGACTTCAATGTGAAGTTCCCGTTCTGGTTTTCCCCCCATGATCTTCGGTCTTTGGCTCCTGTTATATCATCTAGCACTACTGCCCTCAAGCGTAGTTGTGTATCCGTATTCAAATAGTTCTCTATCTGATGTATAAGCCAACCCGTGCCATTTCTCCAAAGGTCCCGGACCCGTAAGTTCATTAGCTGCTCCGGCACTTCCTCCTCTGCTATTTCCAGCAACGGGACATTCAACAACCATCTATCTTTCCAGAAGTAAACTCGACGACCATCCCCCAGTATCCAAGTCATCCCTAACAGTACCACATCTCTGATCCCCGTAAGTATGCTCCGCTAAGTACTTGAGGTACTCCCCTTTACCACAGTCCAGATTCTCTCTTGTCCCTCCACAACTTTGTATTTCTGACGTAGCACTTGAGCCCATAAGGATGACTTATCCTGCATAAGTCACGACCCCAACTTTGCAATAAGAGCTTTGTTCATCCCCATCGCTGTACGAATTCCCAAACCTCCTTCTCGTTTAGGCACACAGACTCGTTTCCAAGCTAGCAGGTGCGGCTTTCTCACACCGTCTGTACTTCCCCATAGGAATGCTCTTGAGATTTTATCTAGCTTCGACAGTGTTGACTTAGGCAGCAGGATTGTGCTCATTGTGTGCACAGGGATCGAAGATAACACTGATTTTATTAGGGTCAATCTCCCAGCTAAGCTCAAAAACCGACTCTTCCATCCCGCAAGCCGTGACGAGACTTTCTCCACAACATCTCCAAATGTATCCTTGTTGATTCTCCTCTGTAGTATTGGCATACCCAGGTATTTTCCAAGCTCACGGGTAGCTTTGATACCACTCTCATGACTAATCAAATTACTCAAGTCTCGAGTGACATTATTTGAGAAAAATATCTTCGATTTCTCCAAACTAATCTTCTGCCCCGAAGCTGTACAGAACCTTTCCAGAATACTCCATATGAATCGAATTTGCGAGATGGATGATGTTGAGCAAGTTGTTGCCACATTACCACATGGAGGATTTACAAAACTGACTAGAGAAGAATTCAATGACTTAAACAAGCCGTTCACAGCATCAGAAGTAGAGACAGCCATAAGGAATATGGGCAAGTTTAAAGCACCGGGGCCTGATGGTATCAACCGGTGTTTTATCAGAATTGTTGGGATGTCGTGGGGGAGTCGGTAGTCCGTTTTGTACTGGAGTTCTTCTCAACTGGATACCTTCCGAATGGAACAAATGATGCTCTGGTGGTGTTGATAGCGAAGGTCTTAAAGCCAGAAAGCATTACTAAGTTTCGACCTATCAGCCTTTGTAATGTGCTCTTCAAAGTGATTACGAAGTCACTGGTGATTCGATTGAAGAAGGTGATACCTAAACTTGTGGGTCCTGCACAGTCAAGTTTCATCCCGGGGAGGCTCAGCTCGGATAATATAGTGATTGTTCAGGAGGTTGTTCATTCAATGCGTAGGAAGAAAGGGAGGAAGGGTTGGATGCTCCTGAAACTAGATCTTGAGAAGGCATATGACCGAGTTCGGTGGGACTTTCTAGAGGATATGTTGCGAGCAACTGAACTCCCGGAAGCTTGGATAGAATGGATTCTGCAATGTGTGGGAGGACCCTCAATGAGCTTATTATGGAATGGTGAAAAGACGGAATCTTTCAAGCCTCTTCGGGGTCTTAGGCAGGGCGATCCTTTGTCTCCGTATTTATTTGTTCTGTGTCTAGAAAGGCTTTGTCATCTGATTGAGTTCTCAGTAGCGCAGAATGAATGAAAGCCAATTACTGTCTCTCGAGGTGGACCAAAGCTTTCTCACATTTGCTTTGCAGATATGTTTTAATATTATTAATGCAAATGAACTCAGCTTTCATCAATAATGAAACGATGATATGTAATGATGATATAATTGTAATATTTTATTTTCTTAGTACATGTGGCTTCTGATATGATATTATTTAATATATATAAATTTGACATTAAATACTTGATATAAAATTGAAGTATTTAAGTTTTTTGTAAAATAATTGGACAATGAGAGCTTTGTCAAACAGTTTTGAAATCATATTTTAATCACAAAAATTTTCTCAAGATATTTACGGATTTCAAATATATGACCAAAAATTTGTGGCTACTAATTTTGTTCGGAAGTTTTTAAAATCATATTTTCAACAGAAAATTTATGGATTCACATTTTTGGTGAAAAATTCACAAAATCAAATTATTTCACGAATTGTTTTGAAATAATATTTACAAATTAATTTTTTGACACATAATTTATGCATTCACTTCTTTAGGCAGGAAATATACAGATTCACTTTTTAATGAAAAATTATAACATCATCATGAATGGAAAACTTTTGAAAGCATATTTGGTCTTCAATATAATAATTTTGATATATAATTTACGGATTTAAGTATCTAGCATAAACCTTTGTAGTAGCTAATTTTGTTGAAAAGTTTTTGAAATCACACATTGGCATAGTTTTTAGCAGAAAATTCACGAAATTGGATTTTGACAAAAATATTTTCAAATATCACCTTCGACAGAAAATTTATGACTAAAAATTTTTGGAATCACATTTTAATGTGATTTTTCTGCGAATTTTTTTATAGATTCACCTTTTTGATGGGATATCCACATAATCAATTTGATAAAATATTTTTGGAATCATCTTTTTGACGTAAATATTTTGGTAAAAAAGTTACTGATTCACGATTTTGGCAAAAACAATTCTAAAATCGGTTTTTTCACAACAAATTTTTAAAATTATATTTTTAAGTAAGTTTTTTGACGGAGATTTGTAGCTTCACTTATTTGGCGGCAAATTTATGAAATCAAAACTAGTAATTTTTGGAACCACGTTTCTAATGTAAATGTTTTGGCAATTTTGTATAGATTCATTTTTGGCGAAAAATTCAGGAAATCAAAATTTTAACAAAATGTTTTCTGAATAATATTTTTAACTATTTATTTGGTGGGAAACTTTCGTATTTTTTTATGGAAACTTTCGTATTTTTGATAAGTTTTTTGGCGAACTATTTACAAATTTAAATTTTTAGTGTGTAATTTACGAAATCAGACTTTTGGAGGAAGAATTTCTAAACTTTTATTATAATCTCATCTTGTCTCATTACAAACAAAGAATAAAAAAATTACATTATATTTAAATGTATTCTAGTTATATATATATACAAAATCAAAAATAAGACAAAAAGTGACAGAATAAGATGGAAAGCAATAATAAAATAAAAAATACGAATAAAAGAAGTTAACAGAAGCAAAGAATAAAGAAGAATCATTTTTTGTTTATGTTTGTTATTATTTAAATTATTTGAGTTTTATGTATATTTTATTTTTCTATATATATATATATATAATTTCTGAGATATATTAAAAAAAAATTTCACAAACTAATTTTTTTATAAATATATTACTAGACAAACCAATCACCTTTTTATTATAAACTAGTTGGTGATCCGCGCTGTGCGCGGCTATGTGATTTTATTTTTATATATTTTTGTATTAAAGGGGTGTATTGAAACAGAAATTTTAGAAGATTTTGTGGTTATTTAAAAATTCCATGTTATTCAACTAATGAATTCTAAATGTCTTACCAAAGTCCATGTTATCGAACATGAAATTTATATAAAAATAATTAAAATCACTTCAACATCCATGTTATTCAATCAAGAATTTGTAAAAACTAAATCAAATCCACTATTATTGAAAATATTTTAAATAGTGGATTTTATAAAATATTAGGTATTTTTAAATGATTTGGTGGAGTTTGTTAGTTAAAAATATAAAAAACCAAATCTCATTGTTTTAGGTGGGATTTCATATAATTTTAAAATCAAATCATATCAAATTTCCTAATCCACATAAAATCATCTAAAATTTCATTAAAACTCAAATCTTCTCAAATTCTCTAAAATTTTAGTTTCAATACACCCCATAAATTTATTGTATTGAATATTTTTGAGAATTTTAAGATGGATTTCTATTTTTTATATGTACCTCTCTCGAATTTTCTATCTTTTTAAAAATTTTAATTTGTGATCCACGCAACACGAATATTTGATTATCATTTTATGTATTTTTTATATTAAATTTATTGTATCATATAGTTTTTGGACATTTTGTGATTGCTTATTTTTTACAATGTACCCATCTTGAATTTCTTGTCTTATCACAATTTTGATTAAATATTATCTATTCAAGATTATTTAGTTTATTCAAACAGATAAGAAAAAAATAATATATAAAATATTAGATATCCAAATTATCTATTTAAGAATTAGAATTTTAAAATTATATAGTTTTTAAAATTTCCTCAATTTTCTGGATTTTTTTCAAAATATTTTTTAAAAGTTTACTTTCATCCAGATTATCGAGAATTTGTGAATAGATTTTAGATAATGCAATTTTTCGAACCCGTCTTGTTACCCGAATTTTCTGTTCCATTTTTATTTGATTTTTTTTTTTGAAATTGTTTTCCATCTTTCTAATTACCAATTTCCATCACTCACTCTTAAATTTCCGCTTTTAATCTTGAAATACTCAAAGATAATGTATGTCATTATTTTTATTTTTTTGTATTTTGTTTATTTTTTTATTTTCTGCCAACACATTATAATTTAACGTTTTATGTTTGCTATTTTTTAAATTGAACATTAATGTTAATTTTTATTATTTTCGTCTTTCTAATTATCAATGTCTGACACACACTCATAAATTTTCGCCTTGAATCTTGAAATATTTAAAGCTAATGTATATCATTATTTATTGGTTTTTTATATTGTATTTTGTTGATATTTTTTTTTTCACACAACACATTATAATTTGTTTTTGTTTGCTATCTTTTGTATTGAATGTTAATATTAATTTTTCTTGAACTTAAAAAAAAAAATGTTTAAAAGGCGGATTGATCAACAACATTTAGATTTATCTTTTTTTTTCTGGTTATGTTATGTGTGGCCAACGCACCATAGTTCATTCCCAGCTGAGCGATGTGGGATATTAATCTGTATCAAAAAGAAGACTTGATAAAAGCATATACATATGGGTTTTGATTTAACGATTGATAGATGAGGAAATGCCCAATTATATTTGAAAACCATCCTTTAACTTGTTGCTTCATACTTTATCAAGAGTAGAACGCAAAGTCTTTAGAGTCCAAAACCGATCGAACGGCCCTATCTAATAAGTAAACCGAACTTGATCGTAATTGAATTCTCTTGTTTCGTCCAACTATTCCCATTCAATGCAAGTTCACACTTACACATGTGACATATTGGTCTCATGCTGCATGCACAGATCTTCTTTAACCCATACTATTAAATTAACATTACACCATTTATTTGATTAAAATTAACCTCAATAAAATTTTAAATATAGTAAACGAAAACTTGAGATCATTGCCAACAACGACAAACAGAAGCGCAAATTCCACACACTCAACTTAACATAACGAGAGAAACAAAGGAAAACAAAGATATTTTGAAAAAAAAAACATATAGAATTGTAAACTTAAGATCCGAACCCATCTAAGAGAACGTTGCCGATGCCAAAAGCCAAGTAAGCATTCGAGGCAGCAAGCTTAATCTGGTTCTTGTTAAGCAAGTCGTCCCAGTCGTCAAAGACGGCGCTTGTTGGTTTCTCAGTCGAATTTATATTACCGATCAGAAACTCCAAATCAGCCGCCTTCCTGTTACTGGACAGGTTCCACGTGGCGGATCCGACATCAACAGCATTCTTGCAAGTCAAGCCAAACTCGCTCTCCAGCTTCATCAGAGTGTTGTTTATGCCAATGCCCACAAAGGTGAAATCAGGTAGATTTAAAAAGTTGAAGAGAGAGAGAGGAAGACCGTCATCATCTTCATCAGAGGGAAGATAAACTATTAGGCAATTGTCTTCATCGCAGAGCTGGAGCAAAGCGGTTTTGTTTTGCTTTCTTCCCTTTTGCACCCGTTCGGTGTCAAGACCAATGATCTTCTTCGTGTTGTTTTTATTGGACAAGAATGTCTTCACAAGACGGTTGATGTCCCTCTCTTTTTCAGTTATGGTCGTTTTGATGCTAGCTACTCCAATTTTCAAAACCGACGTAGACATCTTTGAAGGTATTATGATGAGTTGAAAGTATGGAGCAAATTGAAGATCCGTTGCCTTTATATAGACGTAAAAGGGAATTTCAAAAGCCGTAGAGGAAAAACAAAGAGTCTAAAGTTAAATGCATTTATAAGACGTCTTGACCATTAAGATTCACGAGGCATTAATATTTGTTACTGTGATATTATCATTAACAGTTCTTCTTTATGACCAGATGGAAACCATTTCCAAAAGCTTGTATATGGATGAGACCTTTTGACTACACGGCCCTTTAATGTCATCACATTAGTGCTGCTGTGATGTGAGCTCTTGGAAAGCTTAAAACTCTTGAAACCATAGCAGTCAGAAACCATTTTTACAAAACCATCAAATATTATATTTTTCGCTAATTCTATCACATTGTCGTGTTTTTACCTATTTATTTACTTAGTTTGTTGGTATTTTTTTAAAAACATTATTGCACTTTATATTAAATAAAAGTAATAATAAATATAAATATGCATCTATTAAATAAATACCTTGCATATAATTTAATAAGAAAGTTTTTTGTTTAGATGATGTACATTTTAGATGGAGGGAAGTGATTCGTTGTACGCTAAATCAGCAAGACAAAACGATTCGTTGATTGATTTATCCAGATATGGGCCTTCAATATTTATTTGTAATTCCATACTCAATTTTAGAACTAGAAAATTGTAGGGCTTTACCCCGAAGGGAACCCTTCCAGAAATTCTCGAAGGCCCAAGACAAGCTTAGGCCCAGGAGGGGGTTTGGAAATAGTTTTCAACCAGCAATAGACGCGCCTCGGTTAGTACCTCATTAGCTGCGTCATTGCCCCAAGCGCAAAGATGAGTTTTAAGCGAGGAAGTACTCTTCGTTTTATATACAAGCGATTCGTATCAACTTGACTACTACTTCCGATGTGGGACGTACTAAGAATTTGGCTTCACTTACAAAAAGCATTCTAACTGAAACTGGGCTTCATTTGATAAAAGCCTGTTTATTCCTAAGCCCAACTAATAAGTTACGTAAATGCTCTTTTCCATTTCTTTGGACTTATCTGGAAAGGAGTTTTAAAACCAGACGTCGTCTCTTTCTTCTTCGATCGCCATGACACGTCAGCAACACTCCCGTACGTTGTTATATCGATCGTCTCTATCACTCTCTTTCTGATGCGAAGAATCAGAAGCGAGCAGCCATGGGAGAGAAGAAGCTTGTAGAGTTAGAGTATCAATTAGGCTTTGGTAATCACTTCTCGTCAGAGGCTATCGCCGGCGCTTTACCGCGAGATCAGAACAGTCCTCTAGTTTGTCCTTACGGTCTTTACGCCGAGCAGATCTCCGGCACTTCTTTCACTTCCCCTCGCAAGCTCAATCAACGAAGGTTCTTATACTCTGCTCTCACCTATTTCATCTCACCAATTGTTGATTTTGGATAATGAATCCGTCGAATTTGACTTTCATTTCGTTGATTTTTTTTCCATGACTAAGTTGGTTGTATCGGATCAAACCATCGGTCACACACGAACCGTTCAAGCCTCGAGTCCCAACTCATAAGAAGCTTGTGAGTGAATTCGATGGATCGAACAGTCGTACGAATCCGACCCAGCTTCGTTGGAGGCCTGAGGATATTCCTGATTCGCCAACTGATTTCGTTGATGGGTTATACACTATTTGTGGAGCTGGAAGCTCCTTTCTTCGCCATGGATTTGCGATTCACATGTATATATCTGGTTTCTTCTTCTTCTTCTTCTCTTATTGTGCTAAATGATTTGAGGTTTGAGTATAGTCTCGTATCTTTGGTTGACATCAGTGATAGTGCTAATGATCCCGGTTTCTTTTCCCTGAAGGTATACGGCTAACAAAGGAATGAAAGACTCTGCATTTTGCAACGCAGATGGTGACTTCTTGTTAGTTCCTCAGGCAGGAAGTAAGTTAGTCCCCATGCCTTAACCTTTTGAAGCTTTTCTTGGTAAGGAATTAAGATGAACCATAAAGGTTCAGTTTTGTTCTGAGATTTTGCTTTGGTGTTTAGGGCTATGGATCGAAACGGAGTGTGGAAGGCTTTTGGTATCTCCTGGCGAAATTGCTGTCGTACCACAAGGTTTCCGTTTCTCCATAGATCTACCGGATGGGGATTCGCGTGGTTATGTTGCTGAGATCTATGGTGCTCATTTTCAGCTTCCTGATCTTGGACCAATAGGTACTTTTTTATGATACAACCTGAATAAACCCCGGATTGTGTTTACAAAAGCCGTCTACATAAGAAGCTTATCGTTGTTGGATGTGTGTAAAAGGTGCCAATGGTCTTGCTGCACCAAGAGATTTTCTTGCACCAACCGCGTGGTTTGAGGAAGGATTACGGCCTGAGTACACAATCGTTCAGAAGTTTGGCGGCGAACTCTTTACTGCTAAACAAGATTTCTCTCCATTCAATGTGGTCGCCTGGCATGGCAATTACGTGCCTTATAAGGTTCATGCAGTGTTTGTTGAGCCTAAGCTCTTGAACTATTAACACAGTTTTTTTTCTGAAGACATATCATTTTCCATTTCCAGTATGACCTGCAGAAGTTTTGTCCATACAACACTGTACTTGTAGATCATGGGGATCCATCAATAAATACAGGTAAGAGCACTGAATCTATACCTAAGCTCTGTTCTTCTTTCAGTTTTGTTTCGTTATCAGTTGATTACTGATTAGTCTTTGGTACTCCTCAGTTCTTACAGCACCTACGGATAAACCTGGTGTGGCTTTACTTGATTTTGTCATATTCCCTCCTCGATGGTTAGTTGCTGAGCATACTTTTCGACCTCCTTACTATCATCGTAACTGCATGAGTGAGTTTATGGGACTTATCTACGGTGCATACGAGGTAAAATGCTTCTTTTAAGTTCCTTGCTTCTGCAAATCATTTGCTGGCTTGTGTTTCGTCCTCCTACTGAAATCCACTTTTCACAGGCCAAAGCTGATGGATTTCTCCCTGGTGGCGCAAGTCTTCACAGTTGTATGACACCTCACGGTCCAGATACAACCACATACGAGGTATCAATCTATCAATCCATCTTATGCAGCAGCAATCACAAGTTTGATTTCATTTTCCTCTGAGATCATATCTAACCTACTGAATGTGAAAGAAGCAACTTAAGTGTGAAGCATTTTTATTATGGTTTTTGTAGGCGACTATTGCTCGTGTGAATGCAATGGCTCCTTCTAAACTCACAGGTACAATGGCTTTTATGTTCGAATCAGCCTTGGTCCCTAGAGTCTGCCATTGGGCTCTGGAGTCTCCTTTCCTTGACCACGACTACTACCAATGTTGGATTGGCCTCAAGTCCCATTTCTCGCGCATAGGCTTGAACGAGACAAATGCTGAACAGACAGAGAAAAAGACAGAAGCTCTAGAGTAAATAAAGTATAAACTCACGTGTAATATCGATACTCAAATCTGTACAGACCTTAACCATATGTTTCATGAGAGGCACACAGCAAGTATATATGCAATATGTAGGTAATGTTTCCTCATATTATCCGGTATTGGTTAAGATATCGATGAATGTAACTGTGCCATCGAGATTTAGACCACAACATCAGTCAGTTTCACTTTCATCTTCATGATGCCTACTTGAACTAAGATCTCTTTCTTCGACTGTTCTACTTTCAAAACAGTCACTTTTTTGCCAAGAGAAGAAACAAACACAGAGTCACCGACTCCAGGAAGCTTCTTGCGTCCCTCTTGTGCAGCATCATCTTCTGTTAACGCAGAAGCATGGTTCAGTTTCAAATATCAAAACCAAATAATAATAAGATGTCTTTTCAAAGGGGCTTAAACTTGTTAAAATACCAGAAATTGGTCGCCTGACTACCACAGATGATGAACGAGTTCCATTATCTCGATCCTTGGTCGTTTCGGCTCTTGTTTGATGTTGTGTAGCTACCTTTGACCGAGAAGATTGTGCAGCAGATGTGCGAAACTGCTGCAATGTTCTACGAAGTGCAGAACGAGCCACCGAACCAGCCTGAATCAGTTCTTGTCTCATCTTTAGTCTTTCTCTAGTAGCATGGTTGTTAATGTTCCTTTCTGCTGTAAGTAGATTCTCATGAAGCTCTCTTGAGAGACTAGAACCAAAAGAGAGAAATATGAACATAAAGCCCACAAAAGAGTACAAAGCTTTAAATCTTGTTTGATCATTTTTCAAAAGTAGTTTAATCTCTGAAAGAACCATAGATTATTTACCTTATATAGCGACGTGAGTCGTTTAAAAGCCTCTGATATTCTTGCTTGTACCGTTCCATGTCAAGTATGACCTCATTGATCTCAGCACTTGCAGAGCCATAGAGTTCACGAGCATTCTCGATGATGTCACATGGAAGCCTCAATCTTTCGGCTATGTTAATTGCATTTGAACGACCTAACAATCATTTTCAGACTTGGTTGAGTGAAACAAAAGGGTAAGAAAACAGATCACAGAAAAATCTAGATGAGCCTGTAGCTAAACCTGGTACTCCCCATAAGATTTTGAAAGTGGGTTTTAAGTTCACGTCATCAAACTCCATGCAGGCATTCTCAAAGGCAGAGTTGCTACAAAAGATGCGGCAAAGGAAGAAGTTATAATAATCTTTAAAACATTGGGTGATCCGAGAAAAACGACAAGTGCAGAGTAAAACCTGTATTTAAGCATCTTAAGCTCTCCGTGATGTGTAGTTGCCATCGTGAGCAGAGAACCGCTTTCTGCAAAAGATTCGAGTATAGCCATCCCTAATGCAGCTCCTTCAAGCGGATTTGTTCCTGCTCCAACCTGTTTATAGTCAAAACAGTTACAAGCAGATTCCTTAAAATAATGGCATTCTCACTGTTTTTCGGTTTTCCAAAAGTTAACATCTTTTAACTTACTTCATCTAACAACACAAGGGATCTGCTTGTTGAATTCGAGATAATTTCCTGCATGTTAACCAATAAGAGTAAGAAAACCATAAGATATCAACAGATTGGTGAAAGGTGTGACGGCGACAGAGAAACAGGCTCACACTAATTTGCTTCAAATGACCCGAAAAGGTAGAAAGTGACTGCAGCAAGGATTGTTCATCACCAATATCAGCATAAATGTTGTCAAACCAAGGTAAGCGTGCAGATTCAGATGATAGAACATAAAGACCTACAAAAAGCATTACAATAATGAAGTACTGAAATCTCTCGAGGCCTTCCTGTCTTTGGTGTAGTTTTAATTCACGAGAAGCAAATCACAAAAAAACTTTAAACTAAATATGTGGCTTACCTGATTTTGCCATCATAGCAGCGAGTCCAACTGATTTCAGGCAAATTGTTTTGCCTCCTGTGTTTGGACCGGTAATAACCAGAACTCTAGTGCCCTTAGAGATCTGAAAATCAGCTGGAATTGGCGGAGCTCTTGCTACGGTGTCTGCCTGAAAAATATCAAACATGTATGTATTAACGTGAGCTAAAACCGCATCATCAATCTAGTGAATGACCATAATCATTGGGGGGAACTTACTGTTTTATGGTATTTTAGAGTCTCCCGCGTCTTTCTTATGCCTTTCTTGTGTTGGTGAAGCAATAGAGGATGATAACATCTAGGTAGATACAGCAACCATTCTTTTCTAGCAACCGAGTCCTCACTTGAGAAGTTACTCTCCAGTGAGTATTCTCCAGTAGACAAAGATTCAGATTCGACCACATTTTCAGGTGGTAAGTATATATCAGGATGTGCACCACCATATGCACGACTGTAAGTTGCTCGAGCGTTTATCTACCCAAAAGAAGATACACTGTAAGATCTCAGTTTTGGAATCTCATGTTTCTGAAACTTGTTTTAATGGAAGCAGACTAACCCCATCCAGCTGAATTGAGTATCTCAGCACATCATCGATTTGATCAAGATCCATTTGCATCTGTATTGCTTGCATCAAAACGAAAGAAGAGGTCAACAAGCAGAAAGTAGTACAAAGGAAAATAAAATTCTAATAATTTTAAAACCAAAATTCAATTACCTTTTCAGTTAGCATTGCAAGAATATCTGCCTCAGCCTTTGCAACTGATGCTCTCGCACTTTGGAGCTCATCGTTCATAGAAACCGCAGCTATTGGCTCAGCAGCAGTCCCTCCACCTGAACCACTGTAACACATATCACCTTCAAGAGATAGAATTGGAAGATAAATCACTAGAAGATAAGCATAACAATGGTTCAATGATAATGAACTCTTAGTTCCAAACCTAAAAATTGAATCTTCTATGCTAACTGTAAACTGCAAATTCAAAATTTACCTGGAAAGCAGAAGACCATTAACAGAAGTTAGATGATTCGAGCTCATTTGTATGCACCATCTTCCGTCGATTTCAGCCACTTGCTGGAATTTTCTTTTGAATAATCAATACGGCAACTATAATAAAATGAAGATTTGCTCTTTTTTCCAATGTCATGTTAAGGGAATGCTTACCATGACAGACTCTTCAGCCTTTTGGCTCCTTATAACAGCATCCAACAGTTGATTCAGCTGAAAGGAGACAACAGGAGGGGTTCAGACAGCCTTACAACATCAGTTTATCTTGCTCAAGACACGTCTATGGTAAGCAAGATGAGAACTCAAAAAAGTAACTTGACCTTTCTTTCAAGTGTCCGAACTCGCTCACGTGATAGTCTCAGGGCACTACTCTGAAACAGTAAATGCGAGTTAACAAAGGATCATGCCTCTTGAAAATCTGAAGTCAAAATGAGAGAAAGAACAAACGGCGGAATCTTTGATTGTTCCATCAGCATCTATAACTTGTTCAACCAACTTGACAAACGATCTATTTATCACAGGTTGCATTATCTGCAAGGTAAGGGAATCAAAGAGAGAACATGAGGCCACCACAACCACAACGTTGAAGTTGAAATGTATCAAAATTTAAGAAAAATTGCAAATACCATTTCAGATATAGGCATGAACCGTTTGTACCCATCTCCATCTTGCTTAATGGCAGCTTTCAGATCGAGCTGCAACGTCTCGAAGAATCGAAGAAGAGAAGCCACCTCAAGAGCTTGGTCTGCTCGCAAAGATATCCTTCCCCGAGCATGACGAATGCCCGATTCAGCCTTTCACACGAATCGGTATTACATCAAAACTATAACACTGATACCAAAAGATTATTACTTTAAGGATTGATTGTGAATTTACCAGGGAGATACGAATGCTGGATAGGTCAAGACAGAAGGAACCATGTTGAAGCATTTTAATGGCGGCCTCTGTTTCATCCAAAAGCTTCAGACTTTCATCGAAACTCTGGTCAAGAGACCAAAGCTTTCTCTGAAAAAACCAACAATGGCCATGTAAGTTCTCAAAGCAGAGAATCTACGGCTACAGGCGGAAAACTTGAAAAATCAAACCTTTGTAGCTTCGCGGCCTAAAGAAGTCCGAGCAAAAGAAGCGACGACATCGCAGAGCTTGTCCCATTCCAACACTCTCAAGCTATCGGTTTGGGATTTGGACTTTGATCGGCAAATAAGAATCGGAGCAGAAGAAGATGAAGAAGACGAGGAAGAAGGGATTAAACTCAGATTAACACTGTTTTTGTTCCCGATATAGTTTCTTCTAACCACTAGGGCACAGTTGCAGAATGCTATCGATAACGTCTGCATTTTTTTTGTTTCTTTGATATCAATGAAGAATTGTTAACAAAAGCCAATTTTAATCAAACCCAAATTCCCAGTCTCGTCATATTTTGGCACCTTATCTTCTTGACAAAGTTCAATTATTATAAATTGGGAATTTTTTTTGGGTTTTCAAACATCTTAAATTGGGAATGAAATGGAACAGAAGAAGACATGAAGAAGAATCACAATGTGATTGATATTTTTGAGGCGGTCACAAATCACAACAAAGTCTATTGTTTCATAAGGTACATGTGGGAACAATAGCAATACAAGAGTGATGATGATGATGGAAAAACATTACAAATTTGAGTTAATTAACAACAAACTGAGATTTGAGAGATTCTCTCAAATCAAAGGGTTACAAGAGGCTCTTCGTTGGTTTTGGTGTCATTGGCTGCTGCAGCCTCCTCTTGTTTTGGTGGCTCAGTCTCACCAGAAACTTTCTCAACAACAGTTTCGACGGCTGCTTCTTCGGTCTTCACCACCTCTGGAGCTGGCTCAGCCTCGGCCGGCTTGGCTGGCTCAGCTTCGGCAGGCTTGGCTGGCTCAGCCTCGGCAGGCTTGGCTGGCTCAGCTTCCTTCGGTGTCTCTGCTTCATCCTTGGCAGACTCTTCTTTCTTCTCTGCAACAACTTCCTCTGCCTTCTCCTGTAAAATCGCACCGGAAGAAGAAAAAAAGAACGTAAGTATTACAAATCTTTCACCCAACATTTAGCTCACAAACCAAAATGCATATTTAATGATGAAAAAGCAAAAGGTAAATGATCCACAAAACCTGAGAAACAGCTTCGGGTTCGACGTTCTTGGACTCGACGACAGCGTTTTCAGTCACGGCAGGGGTTTCAATGATATCAGACTCCTTAGGTTTGCTCGCACAGCCTCCCATGGTGTTTTAAGTGAAATTAATCGGTTTGAAACAAAAACAAATTACAATGGGAAGAACTGTGGAGCCCAAAAGATGAAACTCCTTTTCTGTTCCTTTTTTTTTTCAAAAAGCCAAAAACTGTTTTTGTTTCCTTATTAGAGGCTGAGCAAATGTAGGAGAAGACAACAGAGAGATATATATAGTGGTTTTGCACGGAGACACAAGGACAAAGCTATTTCAGGAAAAAGCCTAAATTGATTCATGTCACCTTTAGATTCTTTGAGGCTCTTCTCTGTCAATGACCAATTCAACAACAGGAGAGAACAATCCTTAATTCTCAACGGTTCTTATGCGTTTTAGGTTTAGCCACAGTTTCTTCTCCACAATAACAACAAAACAAAGGAAAAAGGTAAAAAAATAAAACTACAAGAGATCAATGGCATTGAAATGAAGATGTCGAAAGACCAAAAACCAAACATTAAGAGCAAATCTCCTTTCAGAAAATTAGAATGTAGATCTGTTTTTCTAGTTTGCAAAATGAATATAAAGGTAAAGATAGCTATAAGCTTTTAAGCTTTTCACAGGTCAAAGAATTATTATTTGTTCCTAGTTCGTGTATCCGCCGCCTTGTCACTTGTCACCATTGGGGACGAGGCTTTTGTACATTGTTAAGGCTTGAGCGATCATGTTTGCAGGATTTTCCGCAGAGCTCGGAAGCAGCATTGTTGTACCTTCCTTAGCGATGTTGCCAAAAGCTTGAATGTATTGCTCAGCAATTCTCAAACTCGCAGCCTGCATATTTTCGCAACCACGATACGATTTAACCATGAGTTCCCAATTTGAAAAGCAAAAACAAAGTAAAAAACTTAAAACTTAAACAAGCCACGGAAAGTCTCTGTGAGAGAATCAATTATGGGAAAACAAGTTTAGTTGACTTCATGCATTCGATGCAGGTGTGAAATCAAAGTACGGATTAAGTTAAGTATAGCAATAAACGACTAACAATGCAAACATTAATATAAACTCAAAAAATTGTGGAAATCATGCTTGATCTCATGGACTAACCTCGACTCCACCAGTTTCCTTGAGGGATTGAGATAACATGGCCAGTCCCCTGGCTGTTGCTTGTGCCCTAGCTAATATCGCTTCTGCTTCACCTGGAGAGCAATTAACAAAACAAAAACTGTTTACTATGATGCATTCCTGATTGTTGAACTATCTGCCTTGCTAAAATAGTCAATACTAACCAGTTGCTCGATTAACTTGGTCCATCCTTGCAGCTTCTGATTCCAAGATTACTGAACTTTTCTTACCATCAGCGATGTTGATATGAGCTTGACGTTCTCCTGTTAAAGTCAGTAAAGCAGATTATGAGAACCAAAATTGAGCAGGCTTTAAGTAAACCGAAAAAGTTTAATGTAATGAGAACAATGTTTTAATCAAACAAGATAAGTTTTCAAGTAAATTTACCTTCAGACTCAAGAATCTGGGCTCTCTTTCTACGTTCAGCTTCAGCTTGCATTTCCATAGCAGCCCTCACTCCATTAGGAGGCATGATATCCCCTGGATATACACGTTTCATGTATTACAACTATGCGAAAAAAAAGAGTATCCAGCTAACACCAATCAAAGAGTCAACAAAATAATTACTCACTTATCTCATAACGAAGGCATTTAAGACCCCAATCTTTTGCAGCAACATTGATGGCTTCCTGCAAGAACAATTCCATCTCAAAGTCTTCATACCATTTTGATATCCAACACAGAAACTACCAAATGCATAACGCATTCCCCATTACACTCTCTTTTCTAACAAAAAAAAGTAAACTCAAACTCAGACCCAGCAGCAATGACTAAAAGAACAACACAGCTTAAACAATCTCAACTGCAACCTTATATACTAATAGAACATCACTAGAAATTCACATGAACATCACTGAATATGACACCGAAGACTCCCTAGTTTTTTCAATTCAAAACTTGAACCAGAAACAAAGAAGCAAAGAGAACGAACCACAATCTTGACATTCAGCGTGTCTCGTTCCTCAAACGTCTTGTCAAGAGTGATCTTCCCGAGCTCGCTACGCATCGTTGTTTGAGCCAACTGCATCACAGCGTAGATCGGATTCTCAACGCCATAAGACGCTAGACGAGCATCCACAATCTGCAAACGAAACTCATATCAATGAAAACTTCAACCATACACAAAAGAGGACAAGCTCGAAATCACAACAACAAGGAAAAAAGGGGGCACGAGGATCTGAAATAGAGAAAGTGCAATCAAAGAACTGAAGATGACCTTGACGTATAGAACACCATCGATGTGGATGCTAACGTTGTCCTTCGTAATCGCAGTCTGATTCCCGATCGGGATCGCTTCCTCCTTGAGGGAATGGACATAAGCGATGCGATCCACACCAGGAACGAGGAAGTGAATCCCAGAATCCAACGTCTTGGAGAATTTACCGAATCGCTCAATCACGCACGCCTTCTTCTCCGGCACAATCCGGATTCCCCAGTTCGTCGGCGGCTTAATTCGGTAGCTACGAGAAAGAAACAACAATATCACCAAACCAATCGACTCCTACTGAAATCGGAAACTCTCAAATCCAAATATCTCGACTAATCATTCGAATTTCACACAGCGTACACGAATCCCTAAGCTTGAATTACCTGCTGAGAGGATCACGGGGAGAGCTGAAGTGGCGGACGGGGGTGGTGGTGGCGGTAGCGCCGGAGAGTAGTGGAGACTGAAGAAGTGCGGGAGATTGACGGAGGTAACTGAGGGACCTCACGGCGGTGTTAGCGACGGCTCTTGAACGGATGATTTGGTTCATCTTGGAGCTCTTGTTGTAACTAACTCACTCGTCAAATTGGTGGAGGGAATTATAAACCCAAATTAGATCTTTTTCTTTTTTGGGGGTTTATGATGACTTTATATTCACAAAGAACATACTTGGGGAAGAGGGAAAAAAGAAGATCGATTTTGGGCTTTTTTTATTTTTTTATTTTATTTTGAGAACTCGTGGGATGAGTGTTTATCACGAAATTATCTTGCCTTCAAGCCAAAGCAGAAGCCAAATTATCTTTTTTTTTGTTGGTTTAAATGTTAAGAATTACTAATATATATATCCTATTAATGTATAAACCTTGTTTTACGTTGTCTAATTATAAGATAACAATATGTGTTAATTTAAGATACGATTTATCAATGTGTTTGTTTTCTTTATAAAAAAATTTAAACATGCTTGAACAAATAAAAACATAAATTACATAAAATCATGTGGTATTTAAAGAATGGATTGATATAACTTATCATTTCGACAATGTGAAAACCGTCATTTAAATCTTCAACTTTCAAATTTTGGTCATTTAAATCCTCAACTCTCAAAACGCCTAAAAAACAACAATTTTTTTTGGATGATTATGTTTTAAATCTTAAAGTTATGTAGACTCGGCCGATTTAGTTACATCGTTATCTCGACTAACAGATTCATTTAACCCCTTTAATAATCTGTAGTCGTTAAAGACAATACGACATCGCCTCTGAAAACACAATTCGACTCTCTCTCTCGATACCTTTCTCTCTCGATACCTCTCTCTCTCTCTCAATTCCTGCAATTCCACTTTCTTTCTCTCTCGATTGATACCCAGATCAATTGTCTCCTCTTTCAATTCGAAATCTCCATTTGCTTTTGTCGATTTCTCCTTCTGTGGAATCATGCCGAAAGCAAAACGGAAGAAGAAGAGTTCCAAACGTCGAACATCTAAACCTGAAGCTCAACCTGAATCTCAACCTGAAGCTGCAACTGACCTTGGAGGTGAAGGTGATGATTTCGGCGACAAAGTTGTTGGTGATGAGGATTTCGATGAGGTTGATGATGTAGCGGGTGATGGAGACGGCCATGGGCTTGTAGAAGAAGGTTGTGAAGACTTAGTAGCATATTTTGGAGAAGCTGCGAGAGATGAGGAAGTTGGGAGTGATGCGGAGAGTGGAGATGATATTTGGGATGATGAGAAGATTACCGATCTTTTGTCATCGGATTCTGAGGACATTGACAATGACGACGGCAATGAAGAAGAAAGGCATAGAGAGCCTGAAGATCCTGAAGATCTGATAGTATTGGGTAAAACTTATAATTCCCCGAAGATTTCAAGATTGCTATCCTAAGGTATTCTCTCAAACCCTGATATGCCATCAAGCTGTACAAGTCGCAATCTATGAAGATTGGTACAAAGTGTGCTGACACTAAGGATGATTGTCCGTAGCGTGTTATTGCTCTTATGAGAAGAGGAGGCATAAGATGCAAATTAAGGTGTATGTGAATGAGCATATATGTGTCCGATCGGGTTATTCAAAAATGTTGAAGCGATCTACAATAGCTTGGTTGTTTGCAGAAAGATTAAGAGTGAATCCGAAGATCACAAAACAAAACATGGCTGCTGAGATCAAGAGAGAATACAACTTGGTTGTAACCGATGATCAGTGTGAGAAGGCGAAGTCAAAAGTTATGAGAGAAAAGAAAGCTAGTCATGAAGCTCATTTCGCACGAGTATGGGATTATCAAGCCGAGATTTTTGAGTCAAATGCACACACCAAGTTCGAGATTGAGACGATTCCAGGGCTTACAATAGGGAGCAAACAAAGGTTTTATAGGTGTTATGTCTGTTTTCGTTCACAAAGAGAGTCTTGGATGAAAACATGTAGGCCGATCATAGGGATTGATGGTGCATTTCTGAAATGGGATATTAAGGGTCATATTTTAGCTGCAGTTGGAAGAGATGGAGATAATAGAATAGTGCCAATAGCTTGGGCTGTTGTCGAAGTAGAGAGTGATACGAATTAGGAATGGTTTGTTAAGCATCTATGTGGAAGTTTGGATCTTGGCGAAGGAAGAGATGTTGCAATCATATCAGATAAACATAAGGTTCGAATTTTACCTTGTTTCATAGTTGTCTCACATTTTTATCGCTTCAATGTAAGAGTTATCTCACGTTTTTGTTGTCTTCTTTTATGCAGAGTATTGTCAATGCCGTGAGGAACATTCTTCCCCAAGCTGAACATAGACAGTGTGCTAGACACATTATGGAGAATTGGAAGAGAGACAATCATGACATGGAGCTTCAAAGGCTGTTCTGGAAAATAGCACGCAGCTACACCACAGCAGAGTACAGAGATCATATGGATGCACTGTCAAGGTACAATCCTCATGCATTTTCCTCTCTTCAGCAGACTAATCCTCCGTCTTGGTGTAGGGCTTTCTTTAGGATTGGTTCTTTTTGCAATGATGTGCTGAACAATCTGAGTGAGTCTTTCAATAGAACTATTCGCCAAGCAAGGAAAAAACCTTTACTAGAGTTGTTAGAGGATATTAGGAGGCAGTGTATGGTGTGTAATGAAAAGAGGTCTATTATTGCTCATAGATTGAAGAAACAGTTCACACCGAGAGCTCATGCTGAAGTAGAGAAGATGATAGTGGGAGCGCAACATTACATCAGGCATATGGCGAGGAATGATTTACATGAAGTTGAGTTGAATGGTGTTGGTTATCGTGTGGATATGAACACGATGACATGTGGTTGCAGGAAGTGGCAAATGATTGGTATCCCATATGCTCATGCCGCACATGTGATCATAGCAAAGAAAAGAAAGGTTGAAGACTTTGTCGACGACTTCTACACAACAACAATGTGGCGGAAAACATATAGAGATGGTATAGGGCCAGTTCAAAGTATGAAGTTATGGCCTAAGTTAAATAGGTTAGCTGTTTTGCCACCACCATGGAGAAAGGGTAATCCTGGTCGACCAAGCAACTATGCAAGGAGGAAAGGAATGAATGAAACTGCTTCTTCAAGCAATACCAAACTATAACGTGCTCGCCGAGTCATGACTTGCTCAAACTGCTTGCAAGAGGGACACAACAAGCAAGGTTGTGAAAATCCGACTGTTGAGCCTCCGGCAAACAGACCAAGAGGTCGACCAAAAAAATATCAGGTTTGATTTAGTTTTGTGTCGAATTTAGTTTTTTAGTTTTGTTTTAAGGTTTTAAGACTTTAGTTTAGCTTTAGTTTAGCTTTAGCTTTGTTTTAGCTTTGCTTTAGCTTTGTATTGTGTCGACTTTAGTTTAGCTCTGCTTTGTTTTGTGTCGGCTTTGAAGGTATTGTCTGTGCTTTAGCTTTCGATTCGATTTTAAGGTTTTGCATTGTTGTCGGCTTTAGTTTACTTTTAAGGTTTTGTATTGTGTTGGCTTTAGTCTAGTTTTAAGGTTTTAGCTTTGAATTCGATTTTAAGATTTTGTAACAATAATGTTAAACTCGTGAATCAGGTAGGAGAGACAGAAGGAGTTTCACAGCCATCAGTTTCACAATCACAAGGAATTTCTGAAGCACAAACACAAGGAAGATCACAAGCACAAGGAGGATCACAAGCACAAGGTCACAGATCACAAGCACAAAGAGGATCTGAAGGTGAAGGATCACAGCCACAAGGATCACAGCCCCAAGGATCTCAAGGTTGGCAATCATGGTTTCAGTGTTCAAGCTAAAGTGAAGGTGAAGTATTAGGGGTTTGATTGTTTTTCATTCGAATATGAACATGTTTTGTTGGTGTTCTTTTGTTGTCATTTGAACTTGTATGTTTCAAATGAAATTATGTTTTAGTTGATTTGAACTTGATTTGTGTGTGAACATGATCATTGTTTTGTTGGTATTTGCTAAAAAGCTTTTGCTTTTCTTGGTATTTTTTAACTATAAGAAGATGCAATTCATTGCAAAATATGAGTGAAACATAACACAACAAAAGACTGAGTCATGTAATACATTCCCAACACATACAAATGCAACCACAAATCCGAATTTGAATGGAACTCATACAACACATAAACTACATATTACAAAATAACACAAACTAGACTTCTCACATTAATAACCAACAACAAGTTTGGCTTCCTTTGCTTTATTAACCATCACGCAAAGAATGACAATGCCAATGGTCACGAAGCAAAAACACACAAAGCAAAATGTGTTCATTGATTTGCACATCTTTATTTCCATTTTGCTCCACAATATCTCCTCTGCTAATCCTTCAATGACAACCTTCAAATCTTCAACTTCAGATGCCGCATTGCAAATCTCAGTTTCAATCCTTCCTAATTTTAGTAAACCATCTTCAACTTCTTCAAACACAACATCCTCAACCCACTTAAACAAATGCTCCTATTGCATAAAAAAATAAAATTTCCATTATTTCTCTCGGTTTCAGTTTATAAGTGTACATCGAAAAGCATAAACAACAAAGAAAATGTCAAAAACTTACATCTCTTTTGCTTGTGCGAAGGTTGACATCTCTTTTTCCTACACAACGGTAGAATGGTCATCCAGGATTCTCTTGTGTCTTAGATGTCAAGATGATTACATCTAATCCACATACACATTTGGATGGAAAGCCACGGTCGTTTCTCACAACAGAAGATTGATTAAAATTAGAATTCATTGGAATAAAAAGACAAAGAGATGGGGAAATAGAGATTTTGAGACAAATTGTTTTCTCAGTCGTGAATTGAAGGAATTAAGAGACAGAGGTATCGAGAGAGAGGGCTATCGAGAGAGAGGGGTATCGAGAGAGAGAGGTATCACGAGAGAGAGGTATCGAGAGAGAGAGAGAGGAATCGAGAGAGAGGAATCAAAAGAGAGAGGAATAGAGAGAGAGGTATCGAGATAGAGAGGAATCGAGAGAGAGAGAGAGAGGTATCGAGAGAGAGAGAGTTAGGGATTTAGAAGTCGAATTGGAGATTTTGTGTTTTCAGAGGCGACGTCGTATTGTTTTAACGACAAGTTTACAGATTATTAACGGGGTTAAATGAATCTGTTAGTCGAGATAATGACGTAACTAAATCGGCCGAGTCAACATAACTTTGGGATTTAAAATATAGTCATCCAAAGAAGTTTGTTATTTTTTAGGCGTTTGTTATTTTTTAGACGTTTTAAGAGTTGGGGATTTAAATGACCGAAATTTAAAAGTTGAGGATTTAAATGACGGTTTGATATAAGAAGCCAGAACAAGAGTTTGATATAATGAAATAAATATCAAAAGCCAACGATAAGACCAAATCTGGTGCAATAATTAGAGTTTATATCTATTTTCTAGTTTTGCAAAAAAGACTATAAGATAAGATAACTTTCTCTCATATAAGAAAAGCTGAAATTTTGGCTTTATAAGCTTTCACAGGTCAAAAGATTTAATGTAACTAGTTAAGTTAACCATGGCTTCTAAGTTCTAAGTGTGATGGAGAAGAGTGAAAGGTTTTACATCCGTAACCATGTCGTCAGAGGATGAACTTTCCTGGATACTACCTTTGGGGACGAGGCTTTTGTACATTGTTAAAGCTTGAGCGATCATGTTAGCAGGATTTGCAGCAGAGCTCGGAAGCAGCATTGTTGTGCCCTAACAATGGTACAAAAAATATTATTACTCTATTAGATCAAATCCCAAGAAATGACGAGATTAGAGAGTAGATGGGATCAGATTGTATTTCGTAATTGTTTACCTCCTTAGCGATGTTGCCAAAAGCTTGAATGTACTGCTCAGCGATTCTCAAACTCGCAGCCTGCGTATGGCAACACGATTAAGCATGAGGTATCAGTTTTTTGGAAAGCAAAACAAGTTAACTCAAACTCAACAAGCCATGGAATCTCTAATTAATTGGAAAACGGTTCAGAAAAACTTGATTTTATTGACTACTGATATGTAAACAAACTACTGTATATCTGAAAGATTAAGTAGCAATGTATGACTAAAAACTTAAACTCGTCTCGTGTACTAACCTCGACTCCACCAGTTTCCTTGAGGGATTGAGATAACATGGTCAGTCCCCTGGCTGTGGCTTGTGCTCTAGCTAATATTGCTTCTGCTTCACCTGGACAGCAATAAAAAACAAAAAATTGTTTACTATGATGCTTTCATATTTTTGAACTTGATTGCTTTGCTAAATCGTTAATACTAACCCGATGCTCGATTGACTTGGTCCATCTTTGCAGCTTATGATTCCAAGATTATTGAACTTTTCTTACCGTCAGCGATGTTGATATGGGCTTGGCGTTCTCCTACTCAAGTCAAGTTGGTAAAGCAGATTATTAGAGACAAACCGAGAAGGCTTTTATTGTGTTCCAAATGCAAAATAAACCAGAAAGGAAAGTGTGTAGCTTTGAGCCAAGAATTTAAACGAAATGAGCAGTAGCAAGCACACTGTTCAATCACAGAACATAAGTTTGCAAGGATAAGCCATGAAAATTTACCTTCAGACTCAAGAATCTGAGCTCTCTTTCTACGTTCAGCTTCAGCTTGCATTTCCATGGCAATCCTCACTCCATTAGGAGGCATGATATCCCCTGGATATACACATTTCATGTATTAGAACCAGGTAAAAAGCGTATCCAGCTAACACCAATCAAAGAGTCAACAGAAATATTACTCACTTATCTCATAACGAAGGCACTCAAGACCCCAATCTTTTGCAGCAACATTGATAGATTCCTGCAAGAATGATTCCATCTCAAAATCTTCATACCATTGTGATATCCAACACATAAACTACCAAATGCATAATGCATTCCCCAGTGGAATACTATATACTCTTAATCTTACAAAAGTTAACTCAATCTCATAGCCAGCAAATGACGAAATGAACAACACAAGCTACGAAATTTCAGCTGCAATCTTATGTACTAACACATTCACAGTAACATCACCGACCATGACATCAAATAATCCCCAGTTTTCAAAGCTCAAGTACATTAAGACTTGCGAGATTACAAAATCTGAACAAGAAACAGAGAAGGATAGAGAACGAACCACTATTTTCTCATTGAGCGTGTCTCGTTCCTCAAAAGTCTTGTCAAGTGTAATCTTCCCGAGAGCTTACTACGAATTGTAGTCTGAGCCAACTGAACAACAGCATAGATTGGATCCTCAACGCCATAAGAAGCTAGCTTAGGATCCACTATCTGCAACAAGCGACTCAGATCAATGAAGAAAAAACTCAAGATAAGACTTGGAATGAGGAAAGGAGGAAGAAGATGTTTACCTTAACGTATAGAATACCATCGATGTGGATGCTGACGTTATCCTTTGTAATCGCAGTCTGATTCCCAATCGGAATCGCTTCCTCCTTGAGGGAATGAACATAAGCGATACGATCCACACCAGGGAGAAGGAAGTGAATCCCCGAATCCAACGTCTTGGAGAATTTACCGAATCTCTCTACCACGCAAGCCTTCTTCTCCGGCACAATCCGGATTCCCCAGTTCGTCGGCGGGATAATTTGGTAGCTACAGATAACATTTCAACCAATCAATCCTAAAGATTTCCTACTGAAATCTAAATCCTAAGCTTATAATAAAAAAAAACCTGTCGAATGGATGACCGGGAGAGCTGCTGTAGTGGCGGAAGATGTCGGCGGCGGCGGAGGATAGAGGCGTCTGAGGAGCCGCCGGAGATTGAAGTCTGTTGACAGGACGCACTCGACTGCTGAACTGGCGGGCGGTGATGGTGGCTGACCTGGAGGTGGCGATGGCGCCGGCGAATATTATAGGCAGAGCTGCATAAAGTGGACGGATATAGTTGATGGACCTAGAGGCGATGGAACTGGCGGATCTTGCACAGGCGATTTGGTTCATCGTGTAGCTGTAATCCGGAAATAAATTAACAAAAATACTAAAACCCTCTTTAAATCTTTTTTTCTTTAAATTTGAAATCGTCCTTCTTTTTTAATTCACCGGGCCATACGATAACATTTTTTTTATAGTCATCAAGATACTTGGAGAAGTGGCAAATAACAAATGAAAGATTTTTTAAATTTTCAAGCCAAAGCAAAAGCTAAGGACTTGAATTTGATGATCAAATCCTTTTTATCTTGTTACTATAATAAACCTTCTAATTATAAAGTCACGACATGTGTAGATTTTAAGACAAGTTTTGTCACAAGATGAAATTCCCGTAACCTCGTCTAAAAAAGATTATAATCAATAAACCAAATAATTAGAAACATCCATCGATACTCACTTTAGGGTTCAGGCACTTTTACTTCTTGTCACCACTGATGTTCTCCTTCTTCGTAATTTCGGCCGAAAAAAATACCTTTTATAAGGGTATGTGTGATAGAATCCTAATATTAACCATAAAATCAAAGAGAAAAACAAAGTTAGAGAGGGTACATAGAATGTAAAAGAGTCAAAAGTTACAAAGAACCACGAATATTCAACATTATAATCTTCAGTTAAGGTTAGTAACTTGCCAAATCGTATGAATTAGGTGTGATTCTCTGAATATTATTGATATGAAAGTATGTATTTTTATACATCACACAGTATGACCGACTAAACTAATATGAAATAAGGAATATACATTACTTGTGTATTTATTATTACGTGTTTGAAAAGTATGTAAATTTTTATACATCAATATGGGGTAAGTCTCGTAAACTGAATAATTTGGAAATCAATAAATTACAACTTGTTATAAAATTCATGTTTACATTTCTTAGAATATCTCTAATGTATAATTGCATTTTTCATACTAAAATAAAATAATTATAAAATATAATTGGATTTTTCTCCAATGATTGTATTTTTATTTTAAAAAAGAATATTCTTTAATTATAAATTGCTAATTGTATACATATTTTTCAAAATTTATAAATTAACCTATTTATATAATTAATTTAAAAAACTTAAATGTATTATGGTTTATGTTATTATATTTATTACTCCTTCCGTTTTTAAATATATGATGTTTTAGATTTTTTTTGTTCAAGAATACATGATGTTTTCTTTTTTTCTATGTAAAAATTGACATAAAATAATATTTTTTACCTTTCTATTATTAAGATAGTTTCTAATCTAAAAACACAAAATTTAAAGTGTAGTTAACTCCTATTCTTATTTGAGGAGAAATAGGTATTTCTAAAGAATTGAACATTTAAGTTTCTAACTCATGTTAATTACTGTATTTTAATTTTAGAGATTATAATATTTTACTATTTATAATTATCAATAAAAAATTATCATTAAAATAATTTTTAATCTTATAAAATAAAAATATTTAAAATTTAAAAGACTAATTAATTAATAAAAAGTATAATTGCAAATTGGAATTCAAAATAAAATAATTCTATATTTGGAATCAAAAATAACAGTACATCATTATACAAATGAAAATGAGATGGGTTGAAACACATTCTTTTCTAAAATAAAATTTGAAATCAGATATGGTATAAAGTTAAAAATGCTCTTAGTAATTCATATTTCTTGCTCGGATCAGTGACGTTGCCATATAATTGTCATAAAATTCATATGTACCATTTTTTTGCACTAAATATATTCAAAGTTAACAAATACTTACGATCTTCATGTTGGGTTCCATCTGAATGATATAGATACAGATAAAACCTATACATATGCTTATTTTGTTCTTGCCTAAACTCAGTTAAGCATTGTGATATAAACCCGTATATACATCTATGAACAATAAGTTATACTTTTAGCAACATAACGTATATACATCTATGAAGGATAAGTTATACTTTTTGGTGTTAGTTTCTCAGATTAGTTATTTAAAATTATTGATTTATAATTAAAATTTAGTAATAAATACTTACGATCTTTCGGCAAAAAAAAACATACGTGCGTACTAGTTTTATATACCAAAAATTCTCTGGATATTAAAATGAAAATAAAATGGCGTTACCAACCAAATACAACACAACGAATGAGAAAATTAATTGACAACAACCACTCACCAGATTTCAATTCCTTTGGTGGACTTTTGCTTGTCAAACTCGTTTCCACACGGAGGTACTACTACTAACTAACAACTGCACATCGGACTTCACTGAAACTTATAAACTCTAAAATAATTAAAAATCATCTGAAATCCGAATTTTTAGAGTTTTAAAACTCGTGACTCGCGCAGACGCACGCAGACGCAAAAAGCCAAGACAAAACGCCATTCTTTTTTGTCGATTCTTCCTTCTTTGAAAATTGAAATTTCACATCAGAGTTTCTCAGTTTGTCTCTCTTCCCAGACACGAGACGAGACGTTGAGAGAGAGAGAGAGAGAAAGAGAGAGGCAAATAGATTATCCCGAAGCTGAAGTTGTTTTCCGGCCACCGGAAATTAATTTCCGATGGCGATGACTGACCGCCAGGATCCGAGTGCGGAGAAGAAGCTCTTCAGGCTATTCCCGTTCTGGCAGAGGAGAAGAACTACAACCTCCTCTTCTCCGTCCTCAACACAGAACCCCAGCCAAAATTACCGTAGCCGCCATCATGGACATCGGAATACTGATGTCTCCGGCGCTCCGAAGCCGTCCTCCTCCTCGACCATCTCTTCCCTCGCGAGATCACTTCTTCCGGCTCGCCGTCGTCTCCGTCTAGATCCTTCCACTTATCTGTATTTCCCTTGTAAGTCTTCTTTGTTAAATTCGATCTAGCCTGATTTCTTCAAATAGTTTCATTTCTCTGAAATTGATTGATTTTTGTTTATTCTGATTGTTTTTGAATAGTTAGAGATTGAAGTGATGTACATAGGATCTTTAGAAGCTCTCTCTCTCTCTCTCTCTCTCTCTCTCTCTCGAAGTTAATAGTCTCTACAGATTTACGAATTGAAAACGTAATCAAGTTATTGTGCCATCATTCTCTAGTTTGGAGATCAGTGGCAATGAAATTATTTTCATAGAACGAAATTAGATTTGTGGTTTGTGGTTTCAGATGAACCTGGTAAACAAGTGCGCAGCGCAATCAAGCTTAAAAATACTAGCAAATCTCATACTGCATTTAAGGTAACTGAGTTGTATGTATCATTCAATATCAACTTTGCTCTTGATTCTCGCATTTGATAGATACTATTTTGGGGATTAAGTTAAGCAGCTACATAATTAAAGCAGAGAGTTTGGCTTTTTGTTGGCTTATTTTAGTCTATTTATAGTAAAGATGATACAATTGTGGTACTTGATCATCTAAGTCACTATGTTTCTCATCTTTTTAGTTCCAAACAACTGCACCAAAAAGTTGTTACATGCGTCCCCCTGGTGGTGTTTTGGCTCCAGGAGAGAGCGTCTTTGCAACTGGTAATGAGATTTGCGGAAAGCAAAATGTCTTCTTTGGTTTGTTTGTTTACTCCTACTAGATTAGTGTTTATACAGTCTCTGATCGCTGCTTCTTGTAAACATTGAAATGCAGTGTTCAAGTTCGTTGAACACCCAGAGAACAATGAGAAACAGCAGTTGAACCAGAAGAGCAAGGTTAAGTTTAAGATTATGAGCCTGAAAGTGAAACCGGGAGTAGAGTTTGTGCCTGAGTTGGTATGTTATGTCAGCTACTTCGGAAACTCTTATCAATACACTTCTTAGAATATACTAGAAAGTCTCATAACTCTTATAGGCTAATGCAGTGCAATTGATAAATAAGTTGTCGAAGGAAAAGCAATCTCCGTCTCAGAGAGTTCTTCTTAGGCATAAGATGTTCTGAGTTATCTTGTTCTTAGCATGTTACAGATGATGCATTCTCTCTGTTGTGTTTATGGTGCAGTTTGATGAGCAAAAGGACCAAGTAACAGTAGAGAGGGTTCTTCGGGTCATTTTTCTTGATGCGGACCGCCCAAGTGCTGTAAGCTTTCATGCTGATAAGACCACATATATACTATAAGCTTTCTTATCGTTTGAACATAAAAATAAGGAAGGTTACGATCTAATTATCAGGCACTAGAGAAACTGAAACGTCAACTGGATGAAGCTGAAGCTGCAGTTGAAGTAAGAAAGAAGCCTCCACCAGAGACAGGGCCTCGCGTGGTCGGAGAGGGTCTTGTCATAGACGAATGGGTAATTTATAGTTATATGTTTATACAACTATACAAGATCCGAAAATCTTTGGTTTGTTCATATTTTTTTGTACTTGCTTTCTTTATCAACCAAAGTTTGTATCATTTATCAGAAGGAGAGAAGAGAGAAGTACCTTGCTCGACAACAAGTCGAAGCCATAGATTCTTCATCCTAAAATGCAGAGAGCAACATGGATTTGTTATAGCAGAGAGGTAAAAAGACGCTCTTTTCCTTTCATCTTTTGCAGCTGTACATAATTAATTTGATTATCCGTCGATTATATGTGTATCTCTCTAGACGATTTACTTTGTGGTTCTTGTATGTCTGTTTGTTGTGTGATTCAGCCGGTTATACTCTTCCATCAAATTTTGTAATTTCGGTTTATCAAAGTCCGTTCTAGAATCGAACCAAATTTAGTTCGTTTTTAAGTTTTGGATTGTGCTAGTGTAGCTTTTTTTATTTCCCAAACTCAGTTGGAAGTAACCAAAGTGAAGAAGACCACACTACTGATCATTCTTTTGTATATTTTTCTCCGTTTTGATCCAATAAGTCACAAATTTACTCAATATATGATGACTCAAACATGTAGTATAATAGAACTTGCATATCCACCATCTTAGACCAAATTGATTTTGTCTAGAAAAAAGAAAGTTAAATAATAATATAATTTATGACAACATCTTATTTGATTCATGATACAACTGGTTTTTTTTTAAGAACCAAAAAGAAACTATTCGTTTGGAACATAGCGAATGGAAAATGAATGATGGTTTTGTGGACGATAAGTTTACCAAAGAATAGTGGTGCAGTTTGTTTGGAACATTTCCTAAACTAAGTACCGATCTATATTTGATGATACGCTACCATGTTTGGTCTCCTACTATAATAAGCTTTTAAGTTGTCTTCTTCTTTCTTTTTTTTCCTGGTTAATTATTGTTTTAAATGTTCTGTTACACAAGAGTGGCCTCTGAATGACTGATACCCAACCACAGCCACAAGAGTGCCCATATACTAAAAGAGTCATACCTAAACACTGAGTTTGATGTGTTGCTACTTTGCTTCTTGCCTTAGAAACTATGATATTCCTTGCTGGTCCAGAGAATTAGTGGACTAGTTGAATGCTTTTGAATGTATTTTTATCGTCCAGTTAAGCGGTTTCGATTGGTTCTGGCTTTATTTGGCTTACATTCTTCATTTTGTAATGCAAATAAATAAACAAATTCTAGATAGTATCACCAGTTGGATAGATAAACACTAAGAAATTTATAATAACAAATGAGAATACGAATATCTTGAATTCTTAAACCTTTGACAACACGGAACTCTAACTTAAGTCGTTTTTGTACGCTGAACTCTAACCCCACTCCTTTACCATATCCAGAAGCTTCAATGAAGCTTTGTTCTTATTTAGAATTACAACCTCTTTTATACATTCATTTGGGATGTTAATATATATACAGATGTATGTATTATGTATAAAAGCTATATATCAAAATAGATAAAAAGAAAGAAAAATGCTATTGCAAATAGAAAAACTACAATTACGTATAGTGTGAGAACCAGTTTAGCGTTTCTTGCTGCCCCTTTTGCATTTGTTTCCTTGTTAATGTAGAAAAAACTTTCCTCCAAACTTAGACCTATATTCATTTGCCTATGCTCTATACAAAGTTCAGAATGTGTTAATCTGAAATGGTACTAAAAGGAAAGGTGATAAAAAAAGAAACTACAATACTGTCTTTTGTTGTGAATGGTATATATGGCGAATTTGCAATGTTTTTGTTTAACGACGGGATACAATATGTTACTGGTAAAGTTTGGCAGCAGATTTTGAACATTTTAGCGATAAATATGAGGGATCATCACTGATTGGCTGCTTTCAATAGTGCTAAAACAATCAAATCAGTTGTACTAAAAGACTCACGAGGATGTAAGATTTGGAAAAGGGAGAAGATGAATGAAAGCACAAAAAATATCCAAAGTTAAATAATATGTTTTTTTGTTTTTTTTTTCTTAATAGATTTATTCGGGAAAAGGGAGAATAAAGTGACTCGTAAAAACTATGAAGGAGCAAAGACAACTAGAGGTGTCGGCTGATTTTCATGTCGCTTTATGAAGCTTTCGGCCAATTGCATAACCAAACAATTCTTTTAAGTCTTATCAAAGGAAATTATATATCTACATATACTCTTACCAAAAATTATCTCTAGTGTAATATTTATTTCATGAATACCTTCTGCTAAACATGAATTAATCAGTCGTTTTTATCTGAGCGATATCAGTTTCATATCTAGGTGAATAAAGCATGTGTTTATTATTACGTGTTTGAAACGTAACTAGATCAGATTCAGAAGTAATCTTTGGTTATCTTCATTCTAATTAAGTTAAGACTTGTATAACACGTACATCATAATGATTAAATTATGAATAATCAACGCATGTTATCTAGTCGGTTATATATAAAAAATCAAATATACTGTTTACTACAGTTTTCCTATATTCGTCAAATATACTATGAATTTAGAATTTAAGGCAAACTAACAGTTAATACTTTGAAAATTCCCATGCTTAAAAGTTTAAAGTTAAAACACAGTTTAAAAACCCATTGAACACATTTTCTTACACAAATAAATGATGGGCATAGACAAAACTCTACTTTACTATCAAGTATCAACTCTAGACTTCAAGCTAATATGCTCATCAAAAAGTAATTAGTTTTAGTGAATTCAAAAAAAACGTACGTAAAAAGACGTACTAACAAATTAGGAAAATGCATAGTCACTGTCACTTAACCCGTCACTAAACTACTGTGTATGTAGCAACTTCGACTCTTATCCTATAAAGTGTCAAAAACTTCAACGGTAATAAACCGGCACAAAACGTCTTCAATTTAAAAATCCTTAATCCCAAGATTTCGACAAGAACGGCGACATTGCATGATTATGTCTAATTGTCTATGCATTGTCTTTCTCTTCATGAGAGAAAACAATAAAATAAAGTAAATTCTTCGATACAATAAAACTAATTAAAAAAAGAAAAGAAACAAATCGTATTTCAATCCCATGGAAGGCCGAAAGGGATAAATATGGGCCGCCCATTGATCGTGCCCTCTGATCGAAAAGCAAAATATTCATCATCACTAAATATATAATAAAATTAAATTAATTTTATAAAACGCAAAAGGCGCGGAGAGTACACGCAAAAAAATTATTATATTATTTATTATGACCAACGAACAAATTCGGGAAATAAAATATTCATTTCACTCGTCATTAAATTATTGCTATATAACAAAGATTACAATTCCACCATACATATTCTAGCAGAGTGCTTCGCCACCATAAATACACATGCACACGCACGTATATATATATATATATACATACACATACTATATGTTCATGAGAAAGACGACGAAGCTTCAGCAGAGAAAAAATAGCCTTAAAGCCTGAAATACTTCGCTAAGTTTCTAATTTTGGGAGGAATTTTTTTTGTTTGCAACTCTTTTTGGGTTTAATCGATATTAAAAAAGAAAACGAAAGGCGAGAGAATCAGAGGAAGTTCAGGGCGGTCGCGACGTTTCTTCGAGATTCGTCTTCCTCGTGTTTTTCGTTTTCCTCTCTTCTCTCCTTTTTTTGATTTTTACCGCCGGAGATTTTGTATTTTCTGTTTTCTCTGTGATATTTTCCCCGGCGGTTTAGAGATATGAAGGGGAGAATATCGAAGATAGGAAGCTATGCAATCTCTTCCTCCATTAAAGACCAGCACCAGCAACCTTGTATCTCCTGTACTACTTTCAACATCCTCGCTCCGATCTACAAACGCCTCTCTCAAAAGGTTTTTCTTTTTTCTTCTCTTCAATCAAACCCATTTGATTCTCGTTTTTGGGTTTTTGTTTATATGTATGTGAATGTAGGATCAAAGTCTTCGCGAAAGCGATAATCGAGCGTATTGGCTGGGAAGGAATCACAGAATCCTCGATTGGTTGTTGTACGAGAGGTCTTCGATCATATGTTTGCAGGTTGTTCGACGAATTTCCTCTTTGATGTTCATAGTTTTTTTTGACAATGTCGAAACTGTTTTTGGAGTTCTGTGCTCTTATTTTTTGATGATTTTGATTCTTAGGAGTTTTGGGTAGGCAACGAAGAGCTTGTTAAGTTGTACGAGAAGAGACTTGGTGACGCTGGTTATCTCTGTTACAAGCTTGGCCGTACCAACAATCGTGGTGATGGTAAATATTTTCTAAACCATTTTGTGAATCATTCTCTGTTCCGTGAAAATCCAAAAGATGTTTCAATGTGTTTCTTCTATCTTGTGATTAGGCTTGCTTACGGCTGTTCACAAGGACTATTTCAGAGTTGTGAACTCGAGGGACTTACTCTTCAACGATTGTGGTGACCGAGTCGCTCAGTTGCTACACGTAGAACTACTTTCTCCTTACTCTCAGTACGATGCTCATCAAGAAGTTTTGATCGTCAACACTCATTTGCTATTCCCTCATGATTCAACACTGTCCATAGTTAGATTGCAGCAGGTGAAACTCTAAGAGATTCCCATTTTAAGTTTTTGTAGCTTTTTAGTGATTTTTAGTCTTTTGTAAACAAGATTTTGTTTTGACAGGTATATAAGATTCTTCAGTATGTTGAGTCTTATCAGGAAGAAGTCAATCTCAGTCCCATGCCTATTATCCTTTGCGGGTAACTACTTTGTCTGTATCTTTACATTTTCATGAATTGTACTTCAAATTTCTCTGCTCGTTTCTAATTGTGTCGTTGTGGCAGAGATTGGAACGGAAGTAAGAGAGGACATGTCTACAAGTTTCTCAGGTCACAGGGCTTTGTGTCTTCTTACGACACTGCTCACCGGTACACAGACTCAGATGCTCACAAGGTCACTGTCTTTCTTCATATGGAGAATACTTTTGGGTATGCTGTATATTTTTGTGATGTTTTGAACTGACGGTCAGGATTCTGAGACTGTGGTCATCTTTTGGTTTTACAGTGGGTGAGCCACCGGAATCATCGGGGTAACATATGCGCCGTCGATTTCATATGGCTTCTAAATCCAAATCGGTATAGAAAGCTTCTGAAAACAAGCTGGAGTGAGGCTGTGTTTGGCATGTTCAGGGTGAGACTCTCACAAAGTTTTCATCTCTTGGTGCATATCACTATCTAACATCTTGTTAATTATACAAAAAAGTGAATTATTTGTTGATCCTAAAATAGGTGTAGCATTAGATTAGAGGATACTGATGAAGAGGAACGTCTCTTGTCTATTGGATAGTATTATTTACTAGCTTCTCCTTGTAACATATGAGCATTTTGGTTTGCAGTATCTACTGAGAAGAACTTCAATAACAGCTGAAGATGCTTTTGCCTTTCTGAAAACCGACAATGATGGTGACCACATTACATTCATGGGCTTCTGTGAGACTCTTCGGCAGGTATATAGAATCTCTAACGCAATTTAATCATTCCTATGATTGCCTGAATGTTCACAGAGTTCTCTCTTTAATTTTAATCATTCCTGTGTAGCTCAATCTAACGGGTCACTGCAATGGACTCACCACGAAAGAGATTAAAGATCTGTGGATTCAAGCTGACACTGATGGAAACGGTCTTCTAGATTACAAGGAGTTTCAGGTAACGTTTCTTCATGATACTCCTCCTCTCTCTCTAAACTCATAAGCTAAATTTTGAGTTACAATAGCTGAACATAATCACCCAATGTCTCTAGATTTAAAACTCTTTTAACTTTTTCTCTTGAAAACACACACACGTTGCTCAATTTCCTTATTGTAACTCATTGCAGCAAAGAATTTGGAACCAAACCTGGTCGGAACAGAGAGATGCAGAGGACGGAGACGCAAAAGGTAACCAAGAACAAACCGTTGGATTCAGCGTCAAGAACGCAGTTTTGTTTCCTCCTGAAGTGGAAAAAGGGATTTGGCCGGAAAATTACTCTCTCTCAGATCACGCGAGGCTAACCGTTGTGTTCTCTCCCATAAGGATGCCTTGCTCTCAATTGGTTTCATGACAAAACACTTCCAACAACAAAACCTTTAGCTTCTTCCACTTAAGAGACCTCTTGAGTTTTTCTGTGTCCCCTTTCAGAGCAGAGTCAAGACTTTGCTTCTGTCACCATTGGTCATGAAGCTTGAGACTTTGGACCGCCTTTACCGCTCTCACCCTGTCGTTGGGGGAAGAAGAGAGAAGGGACACAACACAATGGTCTTATACATTATATACTGTGTACATAAAACATGTAAACCAAATGTGGAAGCTTCATGTAAAAAAAATGTTGTAGTAGAGATTATAATTAAGAACCAGCTTGCAACTCATTTTTTTCCCCTTTTTTTTTGACCAAGTAATTTTTGCCTTCTTTTTTCTTTGTTTTGTTTAAGAATTGAAATTAACAAAAGTGATTCACAACTCCAAATGTTTTGGGGAAACTATCATACTGGGCTAATACAAGATTCAATTTTAAATTCCTCTTACAGTTTAAAATCTTTTGGGCTTTTTGGGTATTCTTTCGTAACCGGGCCAAGAACACCATTTTAACAAACATGGCCCAAAACTGCGCATGATAGAATAAACCACAAGTGAGCGTGGCTAACATACACTTCAATGAACCCATCGTATACTAAAGAGGAAGCCCCCCAAGTTTACACTTTATGCAGAGAGAAGAGAAGAAATCTCTTCCGTAAGATCTTTTTTGGCTCATTTTCTTTTCAAGGTTAGATTTTTTCACCATCAGTTTTTTTTTTTCTTTTAATCAAAATTCTTCTTTTGTTTGGTTGAAGTTTTCGTTAGACGAACGAATTGGTTGTTTTTCCGTTTTTGTTCTTCTTTCTAGGTTATGAAACCGGAATTTATCAACACTCCGGTGATTAACTGATATATAGTAATTAGATTATGCAGGGAGAACAAAAAAGGGGAAATTTTGAAGTGATTAAAGGAATCGATTTGATATTGGGTTTATCATAATTTTGAAAAAAGGAAAATAGAGGGAAACAAAATTCTGCCTTTGAATTTCTCGATGTTGGGCCAAATGCTATGTTTTATTTACTGTTATAGCTTTTTCGATGGTCGTTTGTCTGGAATGGCATTGTTCTCCGTCAATTTGTTGTTGTAATCAATCAAAAAAGAGATTACTTAATGATTTTGAGATGAGGCATTTGCATGTGTTTGAGTACTTTGCTTTCAATTTGCTTGTTTTGGTTGCTTCCTTTGCTCCAAATCTTAGAATGGAGCTGATCAGTAGCTCTTGTGCAGGTTACATATAAGGTTAAATGCTCTAATTTTTTAACGTTTTTTTGGTATCTTCTGTTGCTTAACATGATGGTTTCTTAATAACCTGCAATTTCATTGCTTGAAATTTGTGAGGCTATCTCTTGAAAATGCCGGGCTACCATTTTGTCCCGCCGAAGTTGGAGGAGGAGACGCCGTATTTTCAGAGAGGTGATCTCACCAAGATAGAGGTCGAAGTCGTCGTGCGGTTTGTGGTGTTGGGCCGTCAGTTTAAGGAGTTTCCGGAGAAAAGAAGAGCCGATGTTTACCTTCTTGCGTCCATAGAAGGCGATGATACGCTTGGTCCCGTCTCTCTTACAGGTTCCGATTGGCCGTACACGTGATTGTTGCAAAGCCGAAAATTTGAAAGTCTTTTTTAATGGTTTTAGGTTCTTCCTTGTTAGTCCTTTCGTATAGGTGAAGGAACTCACTCATCAAGTTTCTCTCTTTCTTTTTGAAACCATTCAAACAAAAATCCGAAATTTGTATTGAAGTTCAGAGATAAGAGAAAGATTTGTCATTTTTTATGATGTGATTTGCTTTTTTGAAGATTCGATTTACTGTTTTGACAACAGCCTTGGTGATGAAGCAACCATACGGCGTTTCACCAAAGAACACTGAATAATAATAATTTCGGATTTATTAATAAGAAACGACTAAAAAAAGCAAATTTTTATAGATCGTTTACGTCAAAGTGCTCATGTGTTCTCTACCAAAACGAAAGCTTTTCGATTGGTGGTTGAGTAAAGCCGTCTACTTTCAAAATCCTGATTCGGTGAATTTCCGATCGTAGCGTCTTTAAGGCCTTGTTGATCCCAATTTCGAGATGGGTAATTGCTCGATTGCACAATCTACGCTTCTTCTTCTTCTTCTTCTGCGTCTTGTCATCGCTTTTGTTCATGGAGATGAGGAGTATCCGCGTCAATTGATTAACGAAGCTAAGGGCGATAAAGAGTGGTTGGTCTCCGTGAGAAGACGAATCCATGAAAACCCAGAACTCCTTTACGAGTTACACGAAACCAGTGCCCTGATTCGTCGAGAGCTTGACGGATTAGGCGTTTCCTACACTTACCCGGTCGCGAAAACCGGAATCGTAGCTCAAATCGGGTCGGGTTCTCCTCCGTTTGTCGCTCTCCGGGCCGACATGGACGCTCTCCCCTTGCAAGTAAACTCGATTTCTTATTGACTTTTCTTTTTCACAAAACTTTCTCTGGATTTGTCAGATTCTGTAGATTGAATTGCTGCGATGCAGGAGCTCGTAGAGTGGGATCATAAGAGCAGAATCGACGGCAAAATGCATGCTTGTGGGCATGATTCACACACCACTATGCTTCTTGGAGCTGCCAAATTGCTTAGCAAACGCAAACATTTTCTCAATGTAAGCTTTTTATTTCTTCATTCTCTCTGATTTGGTTGCAGGGTTGAAGCAAATGTGTTGTGAGTTTGTGGGATTAGCTTAGCAAACGCAAACATAGATTAGCTGAAGGAAATGTGTTGTCAATTTGTTGGATTAGCTTAGCATAAACCTCAATGTAGGCTTTCTGTTTTCTTCTCTGGTTTGGTTGAAGTAAACGCGAACATATTAGTGTTCGGAACAAACATACGTTTCGGTTTGATTTGGAGTGTCTTGCTGCTGTAATTATGTTTGCTTGGTTATAGAATTGGTTTAGTCTTCTTCATGAATGAGAAGTCTTTCTTGCTTAATCAAAAAGGGAACAGTGAGGCTTCTTTTCCAACCAGCAGAAGAAGGTGGAGCTGGGGCTTTACAGATGATAAAAGAAGGTGCTTTGGGTGAATCTGAAGCAATATTTGGGATGCATGTTCATACTGGCTTACCTACAGGAGAAATCTCCACAATCTCGGGTCCTGCTATGGCAGCCACAAGCACTTTCAGTGTAAGAATGAGTGGAAAATTATCTGCTTCTTCTTCTGGGACACATACTTGTGTTGATCCAGTCTTGGCTGCATCATCTACCATCTTAGCATTGCAACTTCTAATCTCCAGAGAAGCAGATCCTCTCTTAAGCTATGTATGTTGAATACTTTTCACATCATTGAGGCACATAGACCAATAAACCTAAACTCTTCTGACGCTTCCTTGCTTTTGGTTTTAGGTTCTGTCTGTTACATTCATGAAAAGCGGAGCTTCTGAGTTTAATGAGATTCCACAGTATGTAGAATTTGGGGGAACTTTGAGGAGTCTTACAACAGATGGCATGAACTGGTTAAGGCAGAGGTTTAAAGAGGTTGTTGAAGGAGAAGCTGAAGTACATAGATGCGAGGCGGTTATAGACATGCATGAAGAAGATCATCCTATGTATCCAGCAACTGTGAACGATCCCAAGCTACATGAATACGTTGAAAAGGTTTTGAAACTCTTGGTTGGACCGGAGAATGTTAAACCGGGTCAGAAAGTAATGGCCGGTGAGGATTTTGCCTTCTATCAACAGAGAATCCCCGGTTACTATTTAGGAATCGGTATCAAAAACCAAGAAATCGGTTCTGTGCATTCGGTTCACTCCCCTTACTTCTTCCTCGACGAGAATGTTCTTCCCATTGGATCAGCATTGTTTGCTGCATTAGCTGAAATGTATTTACAAAGACCATCAAAATCAAACTAAGTGTGGATATTGAGATAGAAGAAACAAAAATGAATTAATAGAGGTCTATTATAAGTCTCTTGGTAATTTACTTTTTCACAAATAAAGTTATTTTTATTTCGAAAGCAAAATCAAAAAGTGTTGTGTTAAGCAAATGTGTCTCACAAAGTCAGTCACATGGTTGGTGCAACTTGTCTGAGCTAAGCCATATAAACAATGACGTTTAATATTGAGATATAGACAAAAAAAATCAGGTAAAGGTTTTGGATATTTGGTAAAGAAAATGACATTTTTTGCACATATAAAAAGACTAGGAAACAAAACATTTTCAGGTATTATTTTACAATTTTAATTTGACTACTTAGATAAAGCAAAACAATGATCATAAAAAGGCAAAGTCTCTCTGAAAAAAAAAACCAGCATCTAGCTAGAGTCTATAAATCTATGCAAAAGAAAAGTTTTCTTTTGTATTTTTATAAAATTTAATTTGTCTTTTTCCTTAAGAAAGAGTTTTAGATAAGATAAAGATGAATGTGTCACACGACACTCAGATGAGATCCAAAGCTCATCGAAAGAGGTTTAAGCCATAATTAGCAATTAGCAAATAAAGAGATTAGTGAAATCTCACCTACAAAAAAGACCAAACTGATGACATATCTGACCCTAACGTCATTATAAAGAACATAACACGACGATCGAGCTCAACTCAACAACATGCAGTTCATCTTCTGCATCTATATTATTAAAAATTTCCCTAAAATTTTCCGGGATGGTGCACCAATTTTATGTTAACTATTACATCCAACATATAAATATGGCGAAAAATATAAAACGGATAGTTCGAATCTACGTACAACTTTAGTTTACTACTTTGAGATGTCAAAACGAAAGGGTTTGTTGTTGTGTTTATAAAATTGTAACTTTGTAACTTGATGGGGTCTAACAATAATATGCTAAACGTTACCGTTTTAGTTAAAATACCGACAAAGAAAATAGGTACATTTTATTATATATTAAGAAAAATGACACTTGCACAACTAAAAGAGCTACAGACCAAAACATTTGTGCATTTCTGTGGAAAAAAAGAAAGCAACATAAATTTTTACAGGTCTATACAATAAAAAAAAAGTTTTCATTTATATTCTTTTATTATAAAATTTGTCTTTTTCCTAAATGGGAGTTTTAAGAAAGAAAAGGCAATTACCAAACAGAGAGATACGTTCAATAAGACAAAAGTGATTAATATGGTCGACCAAAAAATTTCAATAAGACAAAAGTGATTAGTATGGTCGACCAGAAAAAAGACGAAAGTGATTACACATGTAACCCTATTAAAACCAAGCCAATATGGTCTTAAAGAATGACTAGTCTCCATGTGCAAACACTTACCGGGAAATACAAAAAAAAACATATCACGACGATCGAGCTCAACAACATGCAGTCCATCTTCCACATCTATGTGACTATATTTCCTCCGATTTTAAGCCCAAAGGTAAGCCATTTTTGTTTAACTATTACATCAAACATATGCCTCTCTATATATAAACTATTAATGGACGGAATATCTAAATTATGTAGGGATTTTAACTAAAACAACTTACGAGAAACGTAACAATGATTACGAAAAAGTTGATTCTATAACAAGCTAGTAAAACTGTTTAAAGGACTGTTTGCCTTACCAAAAAAAAAAGTGAGAGTGTCTGTAAAAACAAAAGGAAGATAGTGGATGACCAAAGGATTGAGCTTAAACTGATGAAGATACATGCAAATGACGCAAGTACGTACACTAATAATGCTGCAAAGAAAAAAGAAAAAAAGTAATTTAGTACATGTATATACATGTATTATATATATATATATATCACCATTTGTAGATCATCATTATTCAATCAAATTAAGAAGAGATTAAAATCGGAATCGTCACTCGTTAAAACCTCTTCTCTCGCTTGGAAAGCCATGAAGAAGATTTGTTTAACGTCCAGTTCCTTCTAAACCAAGTTTAGTCACGTAGTTCGATAATCCCTCGGATCACGTGAGTCTCATTGGGTCTGTCAATTTACTAACATCAAAATCTTCGAATTGAAACTTTATGTTGGCCTAATCAAGAAGTCCACATATTCTTTGGGGGTTGAGAAAAATCTGCATCATATCTTTTCTATATATACTATATGTATTCACGTACAAATAATAAGCTCTCCATGATTGATACAGTCAGAGATACCTTAAGAACCCATAAATCTGCATATAAATACTACAATTCCCGATAATTTCTTTTCCGTAATTTAATGTTTGGATTTTTTTTTTATGTATATCAATTTTGTTATATCAAATATCAGTATCGGTTATTTAGCCAATGAAATGTACTTGTTGAATTACTTATTTATTACTCAATTTATTGTTGACTAGTCAATTAATCACTGTAACTATCATATGAGCCAATTAATTAAAGGACCCCTTGGTTGTATTATAGAGGGAAATTTATGTTTGATTAGCCCTGTTCGACTTTTGTATGTTGAATATGTGGAATTGACTTGAAGATTTTATTCCATATAAATTATATAAGTTCACACAAAGCACCAAAAATAAGATGTATTATACTATATATTATGTAATACTTATTTGTCCCAAGATGTGAACGCTGAGTTTGTCAGACTGGATTTTTATACTATCTTAATCAATAAATAATTTAATTTTAGTTTAAATAAATCACACTATATCTAACAGTTATATTTTTATTTATCAAAAGTATTTATGAATATTTGTTTTTTGACAACAACATACAATATAATATGAAAGTTTGAATTTGAATAATGATACAATAAAGAGGACACACGAACATAAATTATTAGATTAAGTATTCTGGTCATATATATGTGTATAATTTTCTTCTAAGATTTTCTATGTACACATCATGAATGCATTAATCTTTTTAAGTTGATTTGCGCGCCTCTTATCTATTGGTCGGTTTCTACCATGAGTCATAATCTGTATATGAAGCATTACATTCGATATTTTATAAAATATATCTGATCCCGTCCCTATACATTTCTCCATAATACACACTCGCATTCTTTCCCTGTCATACATGTCATATGTGATTAAAATCAATTAACAACAGAACGTTATTCTTTTAATTATGATAAACTGTGATTTATACTGTTAATCATTTATATAGTATCTTGATATATTGAAAACATCCATTATATAACTAATTTTTGTTAATTTGAATTTAGACTGTTACACAACAACACACTAGTATAAACCATTAAATTACAAATTGGTTGGTTAATAGATTAGGTACTTAAATTCATGGTTGCGATCAAATATGTTCTTACAAGTTACAACGCAACATAAATGCTTATAATACATATGGATCCGATACCGAACTTGAGTCCTAGCTCAGTCTAAACTCTAGAACAACATCATTAAAGTTAAATTCACTTCAAGTTATTAGTACACTTTAAAAGCGTATTAAAAATTGGTTTCTATTTTCTCCAACTATACAAACTAAAGCAAACTGATAATTTTAAGATAATCAAATAATTTTATCTTTCATATATTATATATATATATATATATATTGTCTCTTCAAAGAAAAAACAAATAACTTTACTTTTCTAAAGATGCTACTTCTAAATATATAGGAGGCGCGGAAAGGCGATGAGGCAATCAAGTATCCATCCAATTTTAAATAGTGTAAGGTAGGAAAGACGGACCCATGCTGCCATGCATATCTAGTTGATAATGTCCCCTCTCGTAAGGGATTCTAAAGATCTATAATATCTTATTTAACCAATTTTGTAATTTCAAAGTCTACTCTTTGATTTTATGCAACGGACAAAATCAAAATAAACTAACATTCTAGAGCTATTATTTTGTATAAGCTGAGTACAACTCTTAATTACTTGTAGAGCTTCAAATTCAACCATTTCATAAGTTTAACATATCTAGCAATACTAAATTACGTACCAATTAAGCGTATTTAATGTAAAGGTTGCTATTTCCTAACTAAGCGTATTCATCTCTATAGATTAGAACCACGTAAGTTTTTGTTTTTGCTAAAAAATTTAAAAGTTTGTATCAGTTTTAATGATTTAGTCTCTTTTCAACATACTGACACGAACTAATTGAAATCACACCCCTTTTTTTTTGTTTGCCTAATGTCAATGTGTTCATGGAAGGTACTGACGTACTGCGTGGGTATAATTAAAAACGAGAATCCGCTGGAAATTATGCAATTAAGAATATGATTAGGTACGATAATGTTATGGTCTGGTCAAGGCCTTACTTTGAATATTTCGTCCCTTTTACTACGAGTAATTTTTTTGTCGTCATTAACAATTCTAGTGATAACATCTCTAACTATCCACTAATCGCTAAACAGATTAGCCATTTTGGAATAGCAATTTTTTCCACCTACAATTTAGACAGACTTTCAGATTTTTTCGCGAGGTGTGAAGCCTAGATTATTGAAAAAAAAATCACGGTTCATACTTTTAGAACTTAGAAGCCTTGATTCTGAAGTAGGTTAAGAAAACTATTTGCTTCCAAAAGTCTGGATTATTAGAATAATACAATTCGCACAGCTCATCTCGATTTTCGGCTGACTGCAAATCTATTAATTAAATGTGATGAATCTAATGATGTAACATTAGGGCAACATGTGATTGTGAACGTGGCAAGTTATATACACACCATTAAATGAGCCACTTAACTACTATTCGATTATCTCCAACAAATATCAACACAAAGTATTTGATGTTCATATACAACTACAAAAAGGGATGCATCGTTAAATCTAATTATACCGATCATTGAGCTCTTAAATCTATTATTGGTTAGTAATCCAGCAAAAATATATGGATAAATTGGACTCGTATATAAATATAGTAACTCTTCTTCCAATTATAGTCTTATTTCCCGGTTATATATACATTAAGGATAAAGAGATTAATGGTAATCGATCAATTAATGGATAAGACAATGAATTATTGAGTTGCATGTACTATGTGCAGTACCTAATATTTTATATAGATCTACATAATTAGAAAAACAACAAATTCTGATGAATCCAGCTATATACGTCGTCATACGTATGGCGAACCAAAGAAAAAACAAATCCAGCTATACGTATAATATGTAACTTTCCATACTCTATATATATATATATGTATATATCTGTCTTGGTTATTTAAAAAGAAATAGATATTTCACAAAAACTGAAGTTCAATGATGAAGTATCAATTATAGGACCATTTGTTTATTGCTACAGATGTAGCTTTTGATAATGATTATTCTCTACTATATGAATGCCAAAAATAAATAAATTACTATGTTAAACAAATACTAATATCCAACTTGATTTTGTTTTACATCTAATGTTCAGTGTGCGTGAGACGCAGGTGATTAAAAAAAAGGAGAGAATTAAAAACTAATTAAAATTAACACTAAAATATTATGTTTTCTCTCTCTCTGACTCTGTACTGAAAAGTGGAAATAGTCGTCTATATAAAGACAAAGAAGTCTCTCATCTTCTTCACTACTCAAATTTTCTTCGCACAGATCAAAATCAGAAAAATAAAGCTCAAAAAAGAGTCTAGAAATTTCCAGATCCAAGCAGAGAAAAAAAATATGATTTCAGTGGTGATTATTACTGAGCTACTAGTGGAGTACACGACGGCTCTCGCTAAACTCACCGCCGGGATTCTCCCACGGCGTACCGGCGATAGAAACGCCGTACGGATCGGTGGTTTCCTCCTTCCCGCTCCTTCACCGTCTTCGATGATTCCTGATTTCTCCTCTCACCTCGTCGATTTCTGATTTCATTCTCTTTTTTTGGTTTCTTCAGTACGTTTTTGACTTCAGATTTGCTCTCTCTCTCTCTGATCTGATCTGATCTGATGGAGGAGAGAAGCGGCTGAGATTTTTTACAGAGTGTCTCGTCGTCTCTCTCTCTCTCTCTCTCTCTCTCGCTCTCACTCTCTTTCTCTATGGGTTTTGAATCGAATAGAGCTTTCTGTAAATCCGTATCTAATTATATATATAGAGATGATTGATTGATTGATGATGGTTTTGAAGAACTAAATCTTCTTTTTAATTACTCGATCTTGTATACTGAGATTGCCACAAGCACAATATTGATCTATGATCCTGATCTGTAATTTTCATAACCAAAATCTCTAGTTTGTTTTATGGCAATGTGATCTTACGAGCATTTACCTTTATTCAATGAGCTATTTCGATTTTTTACCGTTGATGATGACGAAGAAAAAAAACAAAAGATGTTATTACTGTTAACAATTAACACTGGAACTCGATATTTTTGACATGTGAAGTCATTGCTCACGTCAAAAAGAAAGAAGACCAAGACATTTTGCTCAGTAAAAAAAGATGAATCTTTCTACTTATTAAAGCATACTACTATATATACTAGTGTGAATGAAGAATCCAAATTAATAATTACGGAGTAATTTAAAAAAGTATTAACGGTTGAAAACTCTGAACGTTGAACGAGTTAATTAATGGAAAGTTTGTAATGCACGCCATCTTTTATAAATCTTCAGTGGCAAGTGTTACTAGTATACAACTACTATACTTACAACACTAATTCCAAAGCTACCAAAAAAATATACTAATCAAATTGTGAGAAAATATGTACCGAAATCAAATGAACCATGGCATAATGAATTTGTGAGCGAATGTCAAACTTTATAATTAGTTATGTTCCATAACAATCGTTTATGCAAACTTCATAAAAATTGTAAGCCAATGTCAAAAGCGCGATCTTTTTGTATCTCTCGTTTTTCTTTTGTCGGAATTATTTCAATTATGTAGTTTTGAAATATTTTTAAAAAGTAAGATATATATAGTTTCACATGATTACGAAACAATGTCCACAACACACAATTATATTCATCATTTTATAGGATTCGTAATTTTATCCATATATACCAACTTACGATTTCGTTATTTCACTACTACAAATATGTCCATCTCTTGAAACGTATGATTAATTTTGTTTTTTTTTTTCACAATTACATCACTAATACAAATGAGATATATTGTTCCACGATATCAAGTGTTAATTTAACCTAAAAGTGATTGTTGGAGGTCTCATTCATCAAATACGGGTTATTAAAGTCGTTACACGTGAACATCACAACATTACAAATACCATTCTAATTTAACGTACAAAGAATCTGAAATCGGAGCAATAGCCTTAAAACTCGAATAAAATGTGGTGATATCGGACCAATTAAATGCACGATTTAAAACCATCGAAGTTGATTGATCGGTGTGAGAGCGAAACATGAATATATGTCCCAAACGATCATCAGTTGTCATTATTAGTTTTAAACTTTGAAGTTCTGAATTTATATTTCGGCGAAGCTCACAGGTGAATATCATATCTCAAAACTTTTAGATCTTAAATCAACACACTAGAATACTAGTAAATCCAGGACCAGGACGATACACACAAGCACATGTGTGACTGATTCTTTTGGTAAAACGACAACGTATTAGGTGGTTGTTGTGTTCATGTAGAAAAAGTTTATTGTTGTCTACATGATGCTAGACAAGTAGATCCTTTCCTTCCTGTCTACTACCATATAACAACCTTTTAAATCCTGCTTAGAAAATATTCCAAATCTTGGTATATAATTACATATATTACATTTTACATGTATGTGTATAGATACAGACAAATTTGGTTGGATATATAATGGATGAAAAGTAGCTAAAATTATGCAAAATTTCCATGAAAATTTTGGAGCGATTGGTGCCTCTTGATTATCATAATATGATGATATCTCTACGTTAAGACACGCTAACAAAAAAATAAGAATGTCGACAGCGTCAGTTGTTAATTAATTTTAAGCCGTAGCTTTAGAACATTTTTTTTATTTAAATTCGTATCCTAACCAATAGGTGACATTTTTAATCTGAAAACCATCCACACTTCATGAAAAATATAGATTTTCAAAACAATGCACAACCGTGTAGACTTTTTTGTTGTTGTTGTTAATAATTGTACGGATACTTGGTCCGTGTATTTTGTTTGAAAGAAAAATTACTTTGAAAGTCATTTTCTTAATCTTTTATAAAACATAGTTAGCAGAAAAAGTATAATATAATGATGCAGCAAAGGCGAGGTAATTAAGGACAGTTCTGTGAAAGCAACGGTTTACTCGAGATTTTTGCGTTAGCAAGACTCGTCAAGGCATGGGCCGGCATGTGTGTGGGTCCTCCTATTGTCATCAAAACTCCCGATTTTATTACATTTAACTTATATTTTAATTAGTGTTAACTAAGACTAAGACCTACACAAATTACAACAATTTGTAAAGCTCTTCTTTACAACTCATCTTAAAAAGAAACACATCCTTTATAACTCATCTCAACTTCAATAGACGATTGATCTAGAGAAAACCATTTAATATTAAAAACCATTTTCTCCTCTCAATTTGAGTAATATTTTAAAACCCCATTTAATTGATAATCTTACGTATATCATCACTCTTAAAAAAGGGAAGTAGTATAGTTTCATACTACTAGAGATGCAGCATTTGTAGACGTGGACGAGACTTTACAATTTGTAAGATCAATTCGATTGCATCGTTTTCCATCCCCTCTTAGTTGGTAATCCTATATAGTAGTTATTACAAAATTTTCCAACCGGTTTACAATCATTATTGATATGATTAAACAAGTTTACAACAAAAGAATTGAAAGAAATTTATTGAAGGTCTATCTATCTACTTACATGATCAATATATACCTACCCATAACAATTGTATAACTGATACAACTATTGGCAGTAGCTTGTGAAGACCAGATTTCCATTAAATTTACATCATCAAATCATATTATCACATATTGTCCGAAAACATAAAACCTATGCCTGGTTAACAAAATGAAAAATCGCATTATTAATTGTTCTCTTAAACTTATATTAAAAAACGTACAGATGTTATATATATTTAAACAGGTTAACTAAAACTCAATCAAATATTTTTATACTAAGATGGAATATATAAATAATATAAATCTTTGTTGAAAAAAAAGAGAGGAAAATATGGCATAATAATGCTGGGAATATCTTGACCAGAAAAAGATATCTTGATCAAAAATAAATTGGTTGGAATGTACAGTGTATAGCTTCTCTATTGTGGCAGCGAAACCGGTAGTTGTATAGTTGTCATATACTTTAATGTATTCTAAAGTTGCGGTGATACTTTCATACTGACCAATCGGAGATTGCATTTATGAAAACAGATCCCACACTTGGATTGAAATCCTCTCGTGCCATATAGACGATCAGATTCTTGTGCTGAGATTACCTTGATTTATCATGATACTCATACCGGAATACTTTAGAGTAAAACAATTTTCTAGTTATTCAATATTTTATCTAGTTAAACAATATTTGGAAAAATCTGTATCTAGTTATACAATATTTATACTGATGTTCAACATACACGATAAAAACATCATGTATTTTCGAAAATGTCTGTGTTTTTTTTTTTTGTAGTTTTAGCTTTAAAAATGTTGTTTACATTTATAATCAACCTTTCTAAATTGTTTTTTTTATAAAAAAAAAATTGGACTCATAAAATTTTGTAATAAGCTTTAAACTTATTTTATAAAAAAATCATATGATAACAGGCCTGTTAAGAAAAGTCAGTGTTCAACGAGCCTAAAAACATGTCGCCCAATAATAGGCCCATTATACAATTTTTTCAAGTCATTCCGTTTTGTATCCCTCAGGGTTTGAAGTTTGAGAAAAATATCATTTTTTGTCATGTGTGTGACTCGATATTACTCCTCAGCGAACATTGCAGCTACCCACCACAAAGGCTCAATATTACTCCTCAGTGATTTTAGTTTTAAGCAGATAACGAAAACGCATGAGGGAGTTATGCAACTTCTAGTGCCAATCCCATTCCTTTGGAAGAATACTGATGGCCCAAAAAGCCTGAGACATTTAAAGCTTTGCAACTTGGAAACTATATTCTTTCAAGAAGCAGCTGGCTCGAAATTTGCAATACATTTTCAAGGGATTAACATTCTATTTCATATTTTCCCTCTTTATATACATAAATATTTTTGAGTTTTGGTTAACCTGTTTAGAAATGTAAGATCTATATACATTTTATACATTCAAGAGAACAGCTAATAATGCGATCTTCATTTACCAAAAAAAAAAACCCTAATTATGCGATTGTTTACCAGAAAAGATAAAAAAACAGGAAGATCCTATCTGCTTGAGTAGTCTCTGTTATGTGTTAACCATAGACAAACGCTCCAATGTTATATATAGGATCACATTTATTTTTGCAATACTTATTTAAGCAAATGTTCAACAACAACAAAAAACACAATGACGTAAAAATATCTCAAGCTAATTTTTTTACTTGTGTTATTTCAAGTTAATTTATTCACATATATATATAGTAAATAAACAGTTATAAACAGATAACTATATGGGTCCCTAACTATATAACATATGATAAAAAAAATTGGAAATCATAAAAAAAAACATTTTTTGGAACATTTACAGAAAAAGAAAAACACTTGTTGAATTTACTATTGCTAGTAGATAAATAAACCTCGATATGTCCGCACTTCTCACCCATCAGACAAACCTCAACACAGAGAAACCAAGAGAGAGAATGGGCGAAATGGTTGAAACACAGATAACTCCGGTGCAAGTTACCGACGACGAAGCTAGCCTCTTCGCCATGCAGCTAAGCTCCGCATCCGTTCTTCCGATGGCTTTAAAACCGGTTATAGAGCTCGAAATTCTCGAGATCATGGCCCAGAACTCTTCTCCCATGTCTCCTTCTGAGATTGCTTCCCATCTCCCGACCAAAAATCCTGAAGCTCCGATCATGCTCGACCGTATCCTCCGGCTTCTTGCGGCTTACTCCGTCCTCACCTGCTCCGTCCGTACACTTCCTGGCAGCGACGGCGTCGAGCGGCTTTACGGGCTCGGTCCTGTTTGCAAGTACTTGACCAAGAACGAAGACGGCGTCTCCATCGCTGCTCTTTGTCTTGTGAACCAAGACAAGGTCGGCATGGAAAGCTGGTAAAAAATAGTTTTTTTAAAACCTTCTAATATAAACTTGATTGATTAGAAGAGATTATTTCAATAAATATCTATTTTAGTAGACTGTTAAAAAATAATAAAAAAGGTCTGAAAAAGAATAAAGTTGTTCTTTGAACTTTTTGTTTAAAAAAAGAATAAAGTTAAAGAAAGAACATGACAAAATTATAGTATAACTTATATGTTAACTGTAAACAAGCAAATAAACCATTGAAGACATGCTTTAGCCAAAAACAATATTGAAGACATGCTTTAAGTCTTTAGCAAATATACCATATGAATATTTGATAATGTGGAGACCTAAAATTTAGATAATATATCTAGTAAAGAGTCCTATATATACTAGACACATGTTTTTTTTTTTTTTTTTTTGGGGATCACTGCCAAGTATATGAGTTGTGCAGGTACCATTTGACAGAAGCAATTCTTGAAGGTGGGATCCCATTCAACAAGGCTTATGGTATGGGCTGTTTCGAGTACCAAGAGACTGACACTAGATTCAACAAAGTCTTCAACGAAGGAATGGCTAACCTATCAACCATCTCCATGAAGAAGACTCTCGAGACCTATAAGGGTTTCGAGGGCTTGACTTCTTTGGTTGATGTTGGTGGTGGCCTTGGTGCCACTCTCAAAATGATTGTGTCTAAGTATCCAAACATTAAAGGCATCAACTTCGATCAGCCACATGTTGTCGCAGATGCTCCTTCTTATCCAGGTATTATAATACTATTTACGCCATTTCAGATCAGAAGTTTAGATTTGATGTATTGAAAGGTTGGCTTATTATTGAGCGATGCAGGCATTGAGCATGTTGGAGGAGATATGTTTGAAAGTGTTCCTAGTGGAGATGCCATTTTCATGAAGGTTAGTAAATAGTAAACTTTGTACTACTTTAATAGATCTAATGTATCAATTCGTGACAACAAGTTCATTATAGCGAAACGGGACAGTTGTTTTGATTTTGTCCTTGTTGTGGCAGGGGGTATTGCATAATTGGAGCGATGGAAACTGCCTGAAACTATTGAAGAACTGCCACAAGGCGCTTCCAGCTAAAGGAAAATTGATAGTAGCAGAATGTATAGCCCCAGAGGTCCCAGACTCGAGTCTTCTGACTAAACATGTCGTCCACATAGACTGTATTATGTTGGCTCACAACCCCGGAGGCAAAGAACGGACCAAGAACGAGTTGGAGGCACTGGCTAGAGAGTCTGGCTTCCAAGGAATCCAAATTTTCAGCGAGAACTTTGGTGTTTACATCCTCGAGTTTCTCAAGCAGATCTGAAGTTAAAGTCCCTCTTAATGATGAATATTTGTGTTCCCTCTACATCTACTTCATGGCCTTTGTCGTACTTGTTTCTTGCTCCGGTATTAACTATGTGGTCAATCAAGAACTAGTATTGGGACCACCATGCTTTGCATAGAGCAAATGTGGGGTTTACATAAGCAATAAATGTTAGATTAATTATCTGTTCGAACAAATATATAATATGTTGTTGAAACATGTTTCCTTGTTCTTTCTCTTGTCAACGGAAATTTTTGTTCTTTTACATTTTTTTGACAGTTATACACTTATTTTCATAACTCGCGTTCATGAATAATATAATTCTACTATATCTACATAACGAATTATTATACTCGACAATTCTACATACAGTAGAAGATATCTATAGAACAGTTTTAACATTTGAAATTGGAAAAATGATATGCTCTCTCTACTTCATGACTTTTGTCGTACTCGTTGCTTGCTCCAGTCCAGTATTAACTATTAGCTATGATATGTTTCGTTCTTAGCAATTATTTAATTAATAAAAAGCTATGAATGGGACCATGAGTGTATATAAATGGAACATGACATATGCTTCCTAGACATGTTTCATTATTTTAGGAAGCACATGTCAGAACTGTGACTTGGCCCATAAGTTAAACGTCTAGTGTGTGAGATCACACGAGATTGTTCAGAACTGTCAAGGCTTTGGATTCATGTTTTCGGAATACGAATGTGTATGTCTTCATGCCTAGATTACTTTATAATGAACCGATGAAAGTCTAAACAAAAATGTATTACTATAAATGTATATAACTAATATTTTATACTTATTTATAATCTTATATAACAGTTTATGACTCAACTTTAAAAACTTGTTTAGGCTTATGAACGCCCTAATGCAAAACTTCAGCTAAGCAAATGCATTTTGACCATTAACCGAACACATAAATAACAATCTCAAACTTAGTTACGCATTGTCAATACATAATCTTCCAAAGCTATGTTGATCTAGTAGCTAGTCAAATCAAAGATGATCTTAACCGGAGTCAACAGTAAAAAAACTCTCACTCTCAGTGTCCGATAAGTTGTGCTACATAGAGTCCGAAACATTGCAATGCGAAGACATCCACTGTGCACAAGGAGCAGGCTCATCGCAGACGTTACAGTAACACTGCATAGGCATAGATATGTTGATAGCTTTTGCTTTTAAAATTATTTTCATATCAGGAGTACTTGTAAAGCAACACTAAACAACAAGTTAATCCAAGAAGTGAGATATACATAAATTACCAGATCACAATGGGTTGCATTAGGAGTTGATCCAAAGGGGAAATTCAAGCAAAGATGCCTTGGATGTGGGTAATCTCTACAAGCCACCTGATCGATCATGAGAATCCATCAGATTAAAAAATAAAATAAAAAACGGTAGAGATAAATCATAAACCCTAATTAAACCTCCAAAAATTTCAAAAATCAAAAACCTGGCCTTTCTCGTGGATGATGGCCACATCTTTATCACCAGAAAGCCTTTCAACGTCGACGAAATCAAAAGGATCGAAATCGAGGATGAAGCATTCCTCTGTTTCCTCGATTCTCTTCATGTCTTGACTGGTTTTCAGACACAAGATGCCTCTGAGAGGAGTCTCTTCTTCATTCAAAGATGGCGTCGTTGTTCTCGCGTTCGTCTCCATTTTTTCTCTCTCGAATCGCAGAGGTGAAAGGAAAGAGTGAGAGACCAAAACGTTACAGTTAGAGCAAGGCCTTAATAATGCTTTAGTAATTAAATAGTGGAAAATCTGACGTTTGACTTGAAACGTTTTTTCAAAAAGGAGCAATTGCAAGTTCTGCAAGGGCCTATAAGTTTTAGTAATATGGGCCCAATCAATAGCCCAAATTTTACAAAGTCTTGTGTTGACCACGCGGTACACGCCATAAAAACGACCAGAGTCTTCTACTAGAGATTGCCTTTGATTTATCAAATACAAAAGATTTACTCCAAATTATCAGTATGAGTCGTAGGTTTTAGAGTTGTGTAAATAAGAGCTTTAAATTATAGACGTTGTTTCCTAGAAGACCAAGATGTGCCAAAATGGATGAAATATTTTTGCATATTCTAAAATGAAAGATGTAACTTTATTTCCGAGTCAGTTTATGTTATTTGTGATATCTTTTTCATTTATGAACCCTCTTTTTCATATTTGAGACTATCATTTTTTTTCAAAAACGTTCAGTTGACTAGATTAGCTAGCTGGCGTAGCTGCAAATAAGAAACAAGTCAAAGTAGTCAACGGAGCTAAACCAAACAGTTCCATTACAATATCTTTGTCCAAGTGAAGTGGTAGGGATTGAAGTTTCAGAAAATACCATCATTTTGGATTATGGGTTCTTTATGAACCTCTTCTAATGCAAATCTTCTCGTGATCTACATTCAATTAAAGCAACAGAATCACGTATTATTTCTGAAATCCCTTATTTGATATATGATGTTAAATTAAAGCAACATAATCTAGTGTTACAAAACCTTAATCAAAGGTTGTTGTGTACACTTAAATGTCCACGACACCTCAATATTACTACTTCTTACTGAACTTTGTTTAAAGCAGATAGCAAAGAACATGAGAAGCTTATGCAACTTCTTGCTTCAATCTCACTCCTTTGGAAGAATCCTAAGACCCAAAAGCTTTCAAATTTGCAATACACAGCTTAACAATCTCATAATGATGAAATCTCGTTACTTGAAAAACCGAAACACATTACTTCTCAAAACATTAATACATCGATCTATTACGCTAGTCATATAGATGAAGAAACTTAACTAAACTAATTAAAGTTCCCTAAGAAGAAGCTCTAATCCTCATGATGAAATCCAGATTTCAGTTTGTCCTCATCAATTTCCACAAAGTAGAGTCATAAGCATTGCAATGCGAAGACGAAACAGCCCACTCTTCACAAGGAGCAGGCTTATCGCAGACGTAGCAGTAACACTACAAAGCGAGAAAAAACATCAAAACACACCAAGTTTAACCCATTTCTCTAAAATCATTTGAAGCAAAAGAAAGAACATATGAATATATAAATTACCAGAGGACAATGGGTTGGATTCGGAGTTGATCCAAAGGGAAAATTCAAGCAAAGATGTCTTGGATGTGGGTAATCTCTACAAGCCACCTTGCTCATGAGATTTCGTCAGAATTTTCCAAAATTAAAATTAGACAAATAAAAAACAAAAAGTATATAGAGATAAAACCCTAAGCAAACCCATGATTTCAGAACTCAAACCTGTCCTGTCTCATGGATGATGGCTAAATCTTTATCTCTCTCACTGTCGGCACCGGAAAAGGAGAGCCTTTTAACGTCGAAGGAATCAAATGGATCGAAATCGAGAATGAAGCAGTCCTCTGTTTCCTCGATTCTCTTCATGTCTTGTCTTGTTTTCAGACACAAAATGCCACTGAGAGGAGAGCCTTCTTCATTCTCCGACTCCATTTTCTCTCACAACTAGCAGAGATCGAAAAGGGAAGAGTGGAATACCGAACGTCGTTGCGAACACTTGCTGAACAAAAACAAAAGCTATTATAAACTGATTCCTGATATTTACAAGGAGCAAATTGCAATTAACAAGACCTTCCATGCTTTAGTAATATGGGCCTTTACATCAGGCCCAAAAACTACAAAAGGTCAAGCTCGAATTGAATTAGACCGTGTTTATATTTAGAATTGAATTGGCTGAATTGATTTGTTTTAGGATTTGTCAATTATCAGAGGGAGTATGACACTATTTAAGTTAACTGACATCATTTTTTTGATAAATAGTGTTACTTATGATCATTAAGGATAAACTGTTGGTTCCAAAACTTCTTTTGTTTTTCAAAACTAAATCAATACAACAATAACATTAAAGTTTCTTCATGGCTTGACGCCTCAGTTTTTTGAAGCTTTATAAACATGACACATCAGCAAAAATAATTACCAATCAAAACATTTTATTAATACATCTCATTTACTTATTTTAATTTTTAAACTTAAACCCATTAAAAACTCAAATATATTTTCTATTAATTTTTGTTTTATTTTTTACCAAACTCAAGCCCAAATAATTAATAACAGCAAATAAAAAATTATTATTTTATTTTTTTCCAAATTCTAACCCAAATAATAAATAAAAAAAGTAAATCATTATTTTTTTGCCAAAACCAAATCTAAATAATAAATAACAACAAATAAATAATAAAAAAATCCTAGCTATCTATTTGTTTGACATAGACGTATATGATTAAAAAAGTGTAAACTCAGCATCAACTATGCTTCCATGACAACAACGCAAAAAGCTTTATGTTATAAGAAGCTCACACACCAGCAAAAATTTAAACCGATAAAAACATAACAATTTCTTAGTTTTTGCAGGAAAACACAATTTCACGAGAGATAATGCAATTTTTGGTTTTCGCGAGAAATTGTAGTTTATTTATTTTTGTAGGAAAGCGTGATTCTGAGCTTGACGAGAAAATGATTTTTTTTTTGGCAGGAATAGACGATTTCTCAGTTTTAGCAGGAAAAATAAAATTTTCGATTTTGGCGGGAAAATACAATTTTTTTTTGGTATTTTTGGTTTTTGTGAAAAAACGTAATTTCTCGGCTTTGGTAGAAAAACACAGGTTCTTGCGGGAAAATAAAATTTTAGGTTTTAGGTTTGACGAGAAAATGAATTTTTTGGTTTTGGCGGGAATAGACGATTTCTCAGTTTAATGGGAAAATGAAGTTTTTTTGTTTTGACGAGAAATGCGATTTCTCGATTTTTGTAAGAAGATAAAATTTCTTTGTGCTAAATTTCCAAGTTAAAGTATGTTTACAGTAACCAAAATTTAATTATTTAACTTTAACTAAAACGATATTTTAAGAGTTCAAACATAATTTTCTATTTAGTTCTAAAGCAATAGCAATAATTTTGATATGAATGTTATTGATTATAGTTTGGTAGTTTTAGAAACATATATTTATAATAAAATATTTGATAAATAAATAAAATTTTATAATTCAAAATAATCATATTAATTAATAAATCTTTTTTTAAATTGCATTTTTCTTTATATAATTACAAATGAGGATCAAGTGGTAATTTATTAGAGATAATAGATTACATTTGCCATAGCATGAATGTACTAAAAATGTAATGCTTTATTCTTATATATTTTATTCCTATATATACATTTATAATTAGTTAGCTAACTAAATTTAATAGAAAATTATATTTTTGAAAAATAAAAAAATAAAAAATATGTAATGTTTATTCAGATTTAGAATATATTAATACATAACTTAAGCTAATAAAATACTCATTAATATTATAAAAATAATTTTATTATATTAGAAATATATACAAAATTTAGAAAAATATTCCGCAGCATAGCGCGGGTAAATACCTAGTGTTATCAATTGTATGTTATTTTTCTCTATAAATTTAGTAATTACAAAAAAGAGAGTGGAGAGTGGAAACCTTTTGGTGGAGTAGTTGATCAAAATTTAATGATTCTGCACAAGGTTTAAAGTTTATTTTTTAGAAAAAAAATTCACTTTGTAGATTATTGAAGATTTACCATTTAAAATCTCATGTAATTTTTTTGACGTATATAAAAATTATAACAAATTTGTGTAGTTATAGAAACAGTTTAATGGATCAGTTAGGTCTATAGACCATGTCCCAAAATAATGAAAAAAATTAATATACTTTCATGCAAGAATTCAAAAGTTGGTGTATAGTTTATATAGAATTCATAAGCATTTACGATACAATACATTTAGGTGCAAGTGCAACGGCAAAAAATGTTACGTCATAACACAGTTTTATGCTTTGATAGTGAAGGTTCTCTTTGATGAGTCATACTCATACATGACGTAAAGCTCAACACGGTGGTAGGTAGGACTTGTGGACTACTTTCTTTTCAAGGACGAGGACTTGTGTTGGTCGTTGTCTTAGTACTTTGGTTGTCTCTCCGACCCCATTCCCTTTCCTTTGTGGGATAAATATGGACCATGGTTAACCCTATAAGGAGTACGGTTTATATATTTGTAAGATTAAGTTTTTTCTGTTAAGGCATGTGATTCAATTATTTGTATTAGAGAATATTTGGTATAACATGAGTTAGTTATTTGGTTTCTTTAAAATTTTCTAATAAACGTCTCAACCCTCACACTTCTCATACATATATCACACATTCATCAACACAGAGGAACCCAAAAAGAAGAGAGCACTCTAAAATCTCAAATATTTCAAGAAAATGGGCTCAAGAAAGGAGACACAGTTAACTCCGTTGCAAATCACTGACGACGAAACTGCCCTCTTCGCCATACAGCTAGCCAGTGCCTCCGTTCTTCCTATGGCTTTGAAATCGGCTATAGAGCTCGATCTTCTCGAGATCATGGCCAGGAACTCTTCTCCCATGTCTCCGTCTGAGATCGCTTCTCATCTTCCGACCAAAAACTCCGAAGCCCCGGTCCTGCTGGACCGTATCCTCCGGCTTCTTGCGGCGTACTCTATCCTCACTTGCTCCGTCCTTACACTTCCCGGTGGTGTCGAGAGGATTTACGGACTTGGTCCGGTTTGCAAGTATTTGACCAAGAACGAAGATGGTGTCTCGCTTGCTGCTCTTTGTCTCCTGAACCATGACAAGGTCTTCATGGAAAGCTGGTAAGTTTTTACGAAACTACACTAAATATATTATCATATCATAGGAGTTCTTTTATTATCTTTCGTTGGGACTATTTCTATTTTAAGAATGTCGTCGTATAAGCTTTGCTTCTTGGTTGATGTAATTAAAATGCAAAGCTAAAGGTGAGAGAGACAGAGAGAGAACCACACATTAAAGTGTCAAAGACAATCAGACAAAACGACGTTAATTTGCTACTGTGCTAAAATCATACTGGTCATATATCATCTTAGAGGCTTGAAGAAATTTTATGTAAATGTGGCTCTTGATTAATTCCCAAATTTTTCACTCGTTATTCTTGTTTTGTTTTTCTTCTATGGGCTGCTTGGTTTTCATTTTCCAATGTTTCCCTCAAAAAGGAAAGCTAAAATGGATCAAATACCTTAGATTATTAATTAAAATATTGTAGTTGATTTTCTAATAATTGTTTTCCGATTTTTATGGTTTTATGTTTAAATTTTTAATTATGAAATGTCAATAGTATGTATAAGAGAAATACTGATAAACAACGATTAAAAAGAATGGAGAAGAAAATAGAATCTATAAATAAAAAGTAGTTAAATAGATGACATAATATCAAAAGTACACTGAGGTACTTGACCTATGTTGAAATGATCATCAATAAGAGACCCGAACCATCATCACTTGCTTAATATCAAAAGTACATTGGGATACTTGAACTAACGTTGAGTTGATCATCACTAAGAGAGCAGTACCATGATACCATCACTTGCTTTTAATGTGTGGCCCTTTTTTCTATCTAATAATTTTTTTTTTTGGTAATATTCTATCTAATATTATGTGGCCACAATCAAGAAAGAGCTAAAAGAAAAACTTTGTATAGAGAAGCTCATGTAATCGTTCTTCCTTCTATTGAGCAACAACAATATGAAGAGAATGGGTTGTCGATCAGCTTATTGAGCAACAATAAAAGAAAATGGATCGTTTAGTTTGCTTTTTAATCTAAACACTTTTTTCATTCACATGTAAATGTTTCTTTTGGTTTTATGGTTTATCTAGTTAATTTTATTTATCTTCTTTTTCCTTTATTTGTATCTTCAAATTATCACTACTTGAAGCCAAAAAGGTTACAATTCCGAAAGGTATAAATTCTAACAAATTTTTTAAAAGTTTAACATACAAATTTTAAAACTATTCTAATTGGTAATGGCGAAAAACCGTACGGTTAATTTGAATCTTTTAAAAAAAATCAGAAGTTGAGGGGTTAGTTAAGCTTAATTAAGAAGTGTGTATGTGTTTGTTTTGTTAAACAGTAAACTCATGCCAAATAAATTTTCTTGCAGGTACCATTTGAAGGATGCAATTCTTGATGGTGGAATTCCAAACAACAAAGCTTATGGCATGAGCGCGTTCGAGTACCACGGGACTGACCTTAGGTTCAACAAGATCTTCAACAATGCGATGTCTAACCATTCGACAATTACAATGAAGAAGATTCTCGAGACCTATAATGGTTTCGAGGGATTGACTTCTTTGGTTGATGTTGGCGGTGGCATTGGTTCTACTCTCAAGATGATTGTATCCAAGTACCCTGACCTCAAAGGCATCAACTTCGATCTCCCTCACGTCATCGAAGATGCTCCTTCTCATCCCGGTATCATTAACATTTTCTCAGCATTTTTGCAAAATCCGATTTTCCTGTTCTAAATTTGATTGTGTGATTGGAATCTAAACAATATTTGTTCTAGGTATTGAGCATGTTGGAGGAGATATGTTTGTAAGTGTCCCCAAAGGTGATGCCATTTTCATGAAGGTTAGTAATTTATGGACCGAAGCCAATACTAAATATTTACATATACTAAAAACTCTCTTGACATTATAACTTCATCATTCATCAATGATACTCAAACCATTCTCGTTCTAATATAGTGGATATGCCATGATTGGAGCGATGAACACTGCGTGAAGTTGAAAAACTGCTACGAGACGCTTCCAGAGAATGGGAAAGTGATATTAGCAGAGTGCATAGTTCCAGAGACACCAGACTCAAGCCTCTCGACCAAACAAGTCGTCCATGCAGACTGCATTATGATGGCTCTCAATCCCGGAGGCAAAGAACGGACCGAGAAAGAGTTTGAGGCATTAGCCAAAGCATCGGGCTTCAAAGGCATGAAAGTTGTTTGCAACGCCCTTGGTGTTTACCTTATTGAGTTGCTCAAGAAGATCTAAAAAAAACTAAAACTCCCTTATTGATGATTTATAAATAAACATGCATGCTATCATGTACCTGTCTACTTCACCACGTTATTGTTATTGATCGGGATTCAAACCTATGCTGTTTAATCATGGTTAGAGTTTGCTACGATCTCCATATTAAGATATTGTACTTGTGTTTTTGTTTGTTTGGAACAAAATTATGTAACTCCAGTAATAAAACAATACTATATATAGTATTATCTGATAAAATGAGAGAGAGAGAGAGAGAGAGAGAGAGAGAGAGAGAGAGAGAGAGAGAGAGAGAGAGAGAGAGAGAGAGAGAGAGATATAACCCCTAGTTAATCTTAAACAAACAAAAAAAACAATCATGATAGCAACAATCTCATACTTATTAAGTAGTCACGCATTGTCAATACATAGTCTTCCAAAGCTATGTTGATCTTACTAGTCAAGTCAAAGATGATCTTCATCGGAGTTATAGTAAAAGCTCTCACTCTCACGGGTCGGTAACTTTTGCAACATAGAATCCGCCGAAACATTGCAATGCGAAGACTTCCATTGTGCACATGGAGCAGGCTTATCGCAGACGTAACAATAACACTACAAAATATTCATGTATCAAAGTTCCCAAAAAAAAAAAAGCATGTATCTAAGCGAGAGAAAAGCAGTTTCGTAGTAGACTTTTATAGTAAAACATTGAACACCAAGTCAATATATTTCATACTTGTTTTTTTACTCAACAATGGCAAATACGATATAATAATAATTAATATATATAAATAAAATTTACCAGATGACAATGGGTTGCATTAGGAGTTGATCCAAAGGGAAAATTCAAACAAAGATGTCTTGGATGTGGGTAATCTCTACAAGCCACCTATTCATTAGATTCCATCAAATTTTCAAAAATAAAATTAGAAAAATGATTATATATATTTATATATATTTTTTTCAAAAAAAATGATTATATTTATATATATGTATATAGAGAGAGAAACCCTAACAAAAACCTCAAATGTAATTCAAAACTCAAACCTGGCCTGTCTCACGGATAATAGCCAGATCTTTATCACCGGAGAAGGAAAGCTTTCTAGAGTCGAAATAATCAAAAGGATCGAAATCGAGAATGAAGCAGTCCTCTGTTTTCTCAATTCTCTTCATGTCTCGTTTAGTTTTAAGACAGAATATGCCTTCGAGAGGACTCTCTTCTTCTTTCTTTTTCTCCATTTTCTCTCCGAACTCGCAGAGATCAAAAGCAAAGTGTGAAGTATACCAAACGTTGCTCTTCCTTCCTTGGGCACTTGCAGAAAATAGACTTTCTGACTTCTGAGACTTGTTTTCTTAGGAAACGTCGAGATTAGAAGAATCCATTGCAATTAGCAAAGCCTTTTTTGGTTTAGTATTATTAAGCCCATAGTTGAACCCAACTTTTTTTTTTTTTCTCCAAATCAAAGCCTAAAACCCAATATTTTTCCTAATCTTTACAACTTGTACACATATGGAGAAAAGCCACACCATTTCATATTTAATGATATGTCACACCATTTCATATATTGCGATTTTATAATTGGTAAAAAGGTTGTTTTTCATTTATTGCGAGTTGAAGCTTGTTTCACAAAAGCTTTACTGATTTTCCCTCGTAACAACTTTAAGGAGGTTTTCGAAGTTGGCTAAAAGACGAAGCAGCACACAAAAACGGACCGGTGAGGAATTAAAATCGAATTGTAAACGGACACTACATCATGGCCGGTTGATATAGAGTCAAACACTCTTGTACTTGTATGTCACCAATATACATTAACGTTCAATAATTTTTTATGATTTGGACTTTGAAGACTATACAATTGCTGCCTTGTTCTTAATTTATGTGTACCTTCCTTCCCACATGTTTACGTGTATATCGAATAAAATGGTTACGTATATATACCTGTCATTAAAGAAAAAAAAAACAGAGAAAACTCTTAGGGTAATGATTGACATTCAAAACTGAAGAAGTCCCTTTTTATTTTTTTTCCTCCGTGAAATTAATTATAAAGGAGAAAAGGAATTTGAATATCCTATCGCAAAATACAATGAAACTTTGATACCCTGAATTCTTGAAAATTAAAACTTTTTAATACTTAAAATGCATACTTTTTAATACTTAATTGTATTAATCTGTTTCTTGCTCGCTTTATTATTAATTTCTTTTGTTGACCCCAAAAAAAAGTTTACAAATTTAATTATATATATATTCACACACTTTTCAGTCTCTTTGATGAACCAAAATTGTATGAAATCTTCGAACTTGTACATTAACTTAAACTGAAGTATCCTTTTCTTTTTTTCCTTCGTGAAATAAACTATAATGGAGGAGAATAAATTGATAATTTTAACGCAAAATACAAAGAAACTTTAATACCCTGCATTCTAGACTAATTACTTTTTAATACTTAAATTGCATACTATGAAATGTCATGTTTGAATAAAACTAAACTATTTTTTGTTAGCATAGTCGTCGGGTTTGAAATATTTCAGCTACATTTAGCTTTCTAAGCTCATAATACTCTAGACCGTTTGCATCTATGCATAGCCGATTGGTATTTGGTATTAACTGCTACAGTTAACTTAAACCTGATACTTGCTTTAATTGTTTAAACCATTTATGTGTAAGTTTTGGATTTCATTTCGTTCATAAAATCAACGAAAACAAAGTAATACGTTTGCTTGTATACTTAACATAAACACGAATAAAAAATTATACAGAATCATTAGTTGAATCTCTCATGTCGAGCAAACCACCAAAAATATGTACAACTCATATATCTATGATGTCCGTTTATTTTAGTTACAATTCATTTAGGTGCCAAAGGTAATATGTTACATCGATAACACTATTTTATTTATTTTTTTAATTGATCTATTGAACGTTCTGTGATCATGACGTATCACTTAACACGGTAGTAGGTAGGACATTTTTTTTTTTGGTTAAAAAGAGTATAGACAATAGGACTTTGGATTCTTTTTTTCTTTTTCTTTATAGGACTTTAAAAATTGAGATATCCGCATAATATTTTGTTTTTGGTCCCTTAATATAGTAATTGCGTTGTGATCTTCAATAAACCTCATTAGATGTTTTTGAAACCGAACGCTTTCCAATACAAAAACCTGATCCAATCATAAATTTGAAACTGTTTTCTCAATTCTCAGAGATTGTCAGATTGAACTTAAGCTATCTCCGTGTGAGTAGTTTATAGACCATTCTAGGATTGTAAATTTGTAATAGTACGACGATTCTATTTGCAGTTTTAAACATAGGATATCTCCGTGTGAGTAGTTCTTTTGATCAATAAACCTATCAATTTCAAATGTTTACGGACAGTAAAAAGCATATTAAAATATTAAAATTAAGTTGTTGATATAAATGTTATATACGTTATAACTTCCAATTTAAACGGACAAAAAATGCATATGTTGTAATCTGAAACTAATAAATATATGTACGTGGGACTTGTGGTCCTAAAAAACTATCAATGCCATTCAGAAGTGTTCTAGGTGTGTTCACAACATCTTTCAAAGGAGTAGGTGAGATGCTTCTCTTTTTTTGTAATACAAAGTTCTATCCTATCATAACGTTACACGTGTCTCGTCAGAAGACTCGGAAACACAATGCGTTTTTTTAAATACAACAAATGATAAGAAGATCGAATTATTGTGATTTGGTTTTCTCTTGTGGTTGTGGTTGGTGTGAATATGAAATAAATTTGTTTTTCTCTCTTCTTCTAACTAACCTTTTTTTTTTATGAAAGAAATTTGTTTTGGTTAAACAGTTCAAAGAAGAAAAAAAAGTAACACATGTTTGTTGATTTAACGTAGAGCAATTTTAAAGAAAGGTACAGTATTATAGAGAACTAAGATGATTTAAGGTTTTCGTCATGCAGATTTATATTAGTGTTTAGTCTACTACATATACATAAAAGCTATATATGTTACTCATTTTTTTTTTTTGATATTTAAGGACTACGTTGTTTACAAATGAAAAGAGGAATCTTTTGCCAAACTATTTCCATTAATTAAAAATACTTTCTTTCCTGACATTCTATGAAAGCAAAAATGTCAAGAAACTGATTTAGCGTTGAAAAAAATTGATACGATATTTAAGCAAAAGTGGACAATTAATTAGGAACAAGTGTCGCGTGTCGGTCCCACTCACCATTCAATCTGTCGCATATTCTCTCTCAAGTCTCATCTTTTTCCTTTTTATGATTTCTTAATTTATTGATCTATCTAATATAACAATGGTCTTCTTTTGTTTTTTTTTTCAAATTTAACAATGGTCTTCAAGTAATAGTTTGGTTTCTGTAGTTTATCTTCCATTATTTTCGTAATACCTCGTATGACGTATGCTTCAAACTTTAATTAATCTATAAATCAAATGCTTTCGCAAAACAAAAATGTTAATAGTTTCAGTTTGGTACATAAAACAGAGTTAAGTCAAGAGTATGTAAGATTTATATTCGATTATAAAAGTATAAAACTAAAAATGATCCATATAATGGTTTTGAGTATCAAATATATTGACGATCTACACATTTTTAGATAATTAACGTATTTTTATTTTTTGCTCACCATATTTTTTTTTTATATACCTTATCGGCTATTCGGTTAGTCTCGGTATAGAACGCACTGCTATAAGGACGAATTAATTGTCTACGATTCAACGGTTCAATGGGCCATGAGATCCAAAGAGTTACCGTACTGATTAACATATTTTTATTTTTCGTTCACCATATTTTTTTTTATATACTCTATCGGCTATCCGGCTAACCCCGGTATGGAACATACTGCTACAAAGACAGACTGATTGTCTATGGTTCAACGGACACTATGAATTGGGTCAACGGGCCATGAGATCCATGAAGTCCAAATAGCTACTGCACTGCCTATACCGAATTGAAATGTCATCCGACTATATGTCAAAAGGTAATCAGGCCGCCTACATTTCTGACTACTAGGTAAATCAATTGGGCCAAGACCCAACTGACAGACTTCCCAACAAAGTATTGATAACAGCAAAAAGGAAGATCGAACTCGGGTTGAGAATTTTACCCTTTACTAAACTCGCCCTCCCACTAGCCCACCACCTTGCGGACTGCTCACCATATTTACAATTACAACTATCTGTACTGTAATTTTTTCACTTTTAAAATCAGTAACCAGATATGAAATTATCGTCGGCTTTACTGTATCAGATTTTTGGTAGATTTCGTTGTTCTTAGAGTGATCTGAATGCATTTTTCTTAACATCAATGATTTTGTGATAATTTAGACATGTATTTAATTATACAAAAGTCACAAAATGAGCTATGTTAGTAGACTTATGACATGTACACTTGAACAAACCTACGCGACCTTTGTTTTCTTGAAAATATTATATGACAGATCTATACAAAATTATTTTAGCATGCAAACTTAAACAAATTTATGGTTAATTTAGATATAATCTGTGCTGTCAGAATACAATTTTAGCAGTGATTGTTACCAAACTTAGTAGTACTTTATAGCAAATTTAATTAACATTGCATATATATACATATTGTTAGAAAAAGTAACTATGCTTCTTTTTTTTTTTCTTTTATATCCAAGATTATATTAACCCGATACTCAAACTAATATCTGATAGACTGATACCCACCTAAATTCCAAGAAGCCGATATATATAGTTTAGTTCATCGTATTGAATCATTGTTTTAATATTAAAATACTACTTGGTGTTTTATTTTGCTACAATGGATTGTAATAATTCGTTTGGATGTATAATGTAATACTTCAGAAATATTTAATTTCTTTGGCCTATTAGGGTCTCATATTAATATGATAAAATACAAAAAATTGATATGACTCGATCTCAAGTGGACCAAATTATTAAGCCAGATCAGCATTTTGAGTTAAAATATACCAATCGTCTACCTTCTTTTAATATATTTTTATATAAATAAACCATCTTAACCTCCTACTTCTCACCCATCACACAATCCTCTCTCAAAACAGAGAATCTCAAGAAAAAAGAAAAAAACAGAACAATCTAAAAATATATTCGAGATCTCAAGAAAATGGGTTCAACGGCGGAGACACAGATAACTCCGGTCCAAGTCACCGACGACGAAGCTGCCCTCTTCGCCATGCAGCTAGCTAGTGCCTCCGTTCTTCCAATGGCTTTGAAATCGGCTTTAGAGCTCGATCTTCTC